GAAGGCAAGCAAACTGCTCAGGGTCACATAGCTCATTGACAACAGGTGAACCTCCATTTCTCCACCTATAAAATGGGGCCAACTTCTAATTCACACAATTTTCAAGAACTTGAAAAGAGATTGCAATGTCAAGTACAGGGATAAGTGTTTAATAAATGTTCACTGAAACCAACCTGCCTGAAAAAGCAAAGGAGAAAAGCATAGGGGAAATGTATTTCAGGCAAAGGTAAATGTGAACAAAAGCTTGGAGTTGGAAGACACCAAGGCCAATTCCTACAGTCCTTGCCAGCTGCAAGGATGGTGCCCTGAGGTGTGGATGAGGTGGGAGGTGGGTAGAAGCCAGGCAACCGTGAGCTTATGAGCTTTATTAATCTGGAGGGCATGATGGGCCAAGAGAGGGGGCAGTGACTCAGGCAGATCTGAGTTTAGAAAGTCCACCCTGGGGCCCACCTGGGGCCTTTGCTGACTTGCTGTGTGACCCCAAGCTGTCTCTGTCCTTCTCTGGGCCTCAGCCTCCTGGCTCTATAGAAGTGAAGATGGCTCTGATCACGGTTATCAGGGTTTGCACATATGTATCTTCCTTTCTGAGTTTCCTTCTTTACTGTCTTCCCACCTTGGACAGGGAGCTCTGCAAGCAGGACTTTGTCATCTGTCCCCAGAACCCAGTGTCTCCAGCACCAAGCCAAGGGTCTGGCACAGAGGTGAATGAGTGAATAGATGAATGAATGGATGGATGGATGACATCCTTTCCCTTTGGGAGGGTGGGGGTAAAGTAGAATCCCTGGCTCTTACTCCACACACACCTGCAGATCTCCCTCTAGAGGGTGGACACTGACCCACTTGCCCATTTTCTTGCACCCTTGTTTTCTTTTTTTTTTTTTCTCTCTCTTCAGACAATGGCTTTCTTTGTATTGTTATTTCTGGAGAGCAAGAACACTTTCATGCTGGCACCAAAAAGCCAACATTTGCTCTCCAGGTGTGTGATGAAGGTGCTTTTGATTTTCTCCTTTACACATTTATCTGTTTCCTTCTATGAACATCTGTGGCTTTCAAAAGAAAAAGCAATGATACAAAAGAGGTTAGCAGATTACACATACAAATGATTTTTAAACATAAGAAAAAGTGCTCAGCATCCTCCAAATAAAATAAATGCAAATGATAACTACCTTGAGAATCCATTTTTCCACCTATGCAATTGGCAAAGATCAAAGTTTGTTAAGGTCTGTGTTGGTGAGGAAATGGCTGGCTTGTGCATGCTTGGGCATGGGGGTGGAAACTAATCCTACCTGTCCTTTTGGAAGACAATGTGTATGTGTATGTGGCAATATGTATGAAGGTGCTGAATGCCAATCACCTTTGACCCAGCAATTGCACTTCCTGGAATTCATCCGTCAGATGTGCTCACACATGGAAGAAATGATGAGGGTAAAATATTACCCATTGCAACATTGCTTGTGATGACAAAATATTAGAAACCTAAATGTCCATCAGTAGGAGACTGGCTAAATCCACAGTACTGCTTCTACACCAGGGAGTACTGCTCAGCTTCAAAAAAATAAATTAGCCAATGAGGCAGCTCTTATGTACCAACACAGTCCAAAATAAGGTCCAGGATATAAAAGTACATGGAAAAAGTATAGTGCAGATTTGTGTATATAGTCTACTACTATCTGCAAGTATAAAAGGGAAATCTCTCTATATTTATATTTGCTTGCAAATGCATAACATATCTCTGGAGCGATCATGGGAAACAACTGATTGCTTTTTTTTTTTTTTAACTGATTGCTTTTGGAGAGGGGAATCAGGTTGCTGGGAACTGGAGTGGGAGGGAAGCTTTTCATTGTACCTTTTTTTGTACTTAGATTTGAAGGGTATGATGTATTATCCATTCAAAAAATATTAGGATTTATTTGATTTTGATTTTTTAAAGTCTTTTTTAGAGAGTGCATGGGGTGGGGGGAGGGGCAGAGGGAGAGAGAGAGAGAGAGAATCTTTAGCAGGCTCCATGCCCAGTGCAGAGCCCGCCGAGGGGCTTGATCTCACAACACTAAGATCATGACTTGAGCTGAAATCAAGAGTCAGACATTTAACCGACTGAGCCACCCAGGCACCCCCCCTCTCCCCCCAAAATATTAGGATTTAAAAACAAAATAAAAATAGAGAAAGTTTTAATAAGGAAAAGAAGATAACTCTATTCTACCCCCACCTCTTAAATGACTCCTACAAATTTCCCAGTGTCAGTGGCTATGATGAACATTGTCCTTGGAGACCATGGAGTAGAGGTCCAGGGGAAAGGTGACATGACCTGCCCAAGGCCCCAGTCACCACTTATAATTTCCTGCATGACTGGGATGATACCAGGTAGATCCCTGGAATTTTCTGGGCTGCTGCTTGCTTTCATGCTTGTGCATCTATTTCTGTTTCGAACTGGAGCTGAAGTCAGTAGCTCAATGATTTTCAAGATTGCAAATTCACCGGGATCTAGAGAAGGCCTGAGGGGAAAATTGACACAAACTTTCTTGCTCAGCGCAAAGTGAAAGAGATTAGTAAAGATTCAGGAATGTAGACAAGCTGACCTGGGAGGAGGGAGTCTCCCTCCTGGGATCTCATTTTCCCTGCCATCCCATTCTTGGAGGAATGACCCAGAGCAGGATGTTAATACTAGTACCTGTCAGGGCGCCTGGGTGGCTCAGTCGTTGGGCGTCTGCCTTCGGTTTGGGTCATGATCCCTGGGTCCTGGGATCGAGCCCCACATGGGGCTCCCTGCTCTGCGGGAAGCCCTGCTTCTCCCTCTCCCACTCCCCCTGCTTGTGTGCCCTCTCTCACTGTGTCTCTCTGTCAAATAAATAAATAAAATCTTAAAAAAAAAGGCAGAAAATATTGTTATGTGCATCGACAAAGTCCTATAGATGTCTAGATGCGTCTGTCATCTCATGTGCTTAGAAAACTGTGGCACGCATACTTGGATGTCACCAAAGGTGGAAGGTAAGGGGTGAGGGTGAGCAAAACAAAACCATTTGTTTTTTATTTTTAAGTAATCTCTACACCCAACATGGGGCTCTAACTTATAACCCCGATATCAAGACTTGCATGCTCTATGGACTGAGCCTGCCAGAATCCCACAAAGAAAAACATTTAAAGCTCCTTTAAAAAGATCATTTGTATGCAGTTATTATGCAGTATATGCATTAGCATAGAGAACATTTCAATGATGAAGAAGAAGAGGAGGAGGAGAAGGAGAAGAAAGCCAAGAAAGAAGCACCTTCCTATTTCCCATGGAGCCAGGGTCAGGGTGCCCAGCAGTGATGTGAAGAGCAGAAGTCCAGCCAATGATGGAATCTTTCCAACATGTCATATGTTTATTTCAAAATCAAACAATCTGATAAATATTTACCCCCAATGCTGGCAGGAAAGAGGGAGGGAGGTGCTGGAATCCCAGCAGTTGTTTGAAGGATTGTCTTTTGTCCGTGGGGACTTCCCTAGAGGGTTGTCTGTAGCAACCCCCTGCACCCACCCCCCAAAATCTACACACCTTTCTGACACCTGAGATATAAAAAGGGAATCTCCAAGTCAGGTCAGCTGTGGAGGGCATGGGAGCCTTTGCTGCCAGGAGCTGCCCTGCCCCGGTGCCCAGGCTGCCAGCCTTTGGTTGGGGATTCTTCACTGGTGACTGTCGCTTCAGCCTTCCTGGTGTGGCTGATAGATTGCTCTGTTTTGCTCCTTCACCTTCTCCTAAAGATGTATTCTCTTATTTCTACACTTGCACACTGAAGAATGCAACATCTTGATTAGCTTCCTTAAGGAATGTCATAAAAATCGCAGCATTCTGAAACTGGTCGTTGCAATGATCTCCATCAGGGAGATGAGAAAATGCTTGAAGAATGAATACAATGAAGAGAGGACCAAGGGCAGGGAGCATGGCAATGCCACGCGAAAGAGACTTTTTATTTTTTTAAAGATTTTATTTGTTTATTTGACAGAGAGAGACACAGCGAGAGAGGGAACACAAGCAGGGCGAGTGGGAGAGGGAGAAGCAGGCTTCCCGCGGAGCAGGGAGCCCGATGCGGGCCTCGATCCCAGGACCCTGGGATCATGACCTGAGCGGAAGACAGACGCTTAAACGACTGAGCCACCCAGGCGCCCCTTGTCATTTTTCTTTAAGGCCATTTTATTGTTGTCCAAATTTAATCCAAATTTCTTAGGCTACAAGGTCCCGCTGGATCTGGCATTCTGGGGCAACTAGGCCCCACCCGGTGCAAGTGCAGTTCCCTCGGGCTAGTTAGTTCTCTTTCTCTCCTCCTTCTCTCTCTCTCTCTCTCTCTCTCCCGACCCTATTCACCCCTCCCTCTCTTCAGTCCTTTGCTTTCCAAACGCGTCCTCTTCCTTTGCCTGGAAACCTCTCCCAACCCCCAACCCGCTCCGCCACCTCGCTGACTCCGCCTCATCCCCAGGCCTCTGCCAGGATGTCTCTTCTTCCCGGACGCCTTCCCAGGCTGCCCAGGGACGGTAGTGACCCCAGTAGCGAAGGTGCTTGGGTTTTGGTCTATTGCCAAATCGGGTTGTCAGATTCAGAAGTGCAGAGGCCCAATACCCGCAGCCTGCGGTCTCTGCATTTAAGCCTCGGCATTTCGGGGCTTGAATTCAATGACCTCCATACAAGCGTACGCTAGCTAGCTCCGTCTTCTATCCCGACCCAGAGTCAGTTCTGGCGGATCACCAGAACGAGGGTTGCAAACTGGGACTATTTTGGGGGTGTGGCCAAGTGCTGGAGAAGCTGAGTGCATGCACAGAACGCCGCGGGGAGCGTGCCCCTCACAAGCAGGGACGAAGCCCTCCACCCCGCCCCGGGGCCTGCCCCTCACAAATATGGCACCCCGTGGATTCCTATTGGTTCTGGAGGACTCCCTGGGCGGCGCTGACTGGCGGAGGGCGGGGGCGGGGCGAGGCGGGGCGGGGCGTCTCCGGCCCGGGCCTGGCTAGTGGTAACGGGCGTTAGGACTATGTCGCAGGCACGCTGCCACCTGCGCGCCGCTCTCTTCCTGGCAGCAGTTTCTCCGCGCGGTGCAACGACCGGGGTCACGGCGCGGCGAGGGTTGAGCGCGTGGCCCGCGCCGCAGGAGCCCGGCATGGAGTATCAGGTATCCGGCGGGCAGACGGGCGGTCCTGCGACGACACGTGGGCCGGGCCTGAGCCACACAGCGTCCGGGCTCCGCGGCCTGAGGCTGGGGTGGACTGGGAACCTGGCAGTGGGGGATTCGGGGGCGGGGGCAGGGACCAGGAAGTTGGGTCTGGGCCGCCGGCTCTGGGAATGCTGAGGCTCAAGTGTCCCGCCTTAGTGGGAAGGGGCGCCCAGTGATAGGAGGTCCAGAGCCTCAACTAGCGGTTGGGGCGTGGGGGGTGGGAGGGGAAAGAGTTTTAGGAGTTCAGACTTGAGAGATCCAAGAGTTGATATATGGGGTTGGAGTCTCCAGGATTCAGGAGATAGAGATCCAAGTGCCAGGAATTGGAGGCCGGCAGGAATCAGGGGTGTTGGTGGGGGTAAGAATCTGGAAAACAAAATTTCCACCTGGCTCTGTTGTAAGGGCCGGATTTCCATAGACCACGCCTGTTGCCTGCCAGGCAGATGACACAGTTTAATGGGTGTGGGGCCTCCGACCAGCTGTTGAGGCCTCTAAGGGAAAATAAATAGTATCTCCACTGTCACCCCCAGTGTAGACTCTCCTGAGGCTGCAGCTACCCACCTTCCTGGCTGGGTGACCCCGGGTATACCCTTCTTCCTTGGAGCCTCCTTCTCTTCCCCATCTGGATGCTTCAAGCAGCTCTTCTTTGGGTCAGAATGTGGAACCCCATCCTCAGGGTTGGGCATGGAAGCCTCCAGGGATCCCTAGTTCGAATTCTTCCTGTTCTAAGACCCCAGCATTCTGTGGTTCTGCTCCTGCACCCCCTCACTCCCCCCTCCCAATTTAGGGCCCAGTATAGCTGTGGATGTCATTGGAGGGAATGAGGGCAAAGGCCCGGATGTGGGGGGTAAAGATTGGGAAGCCCAAACTGGGAACAGGAAGCGGGGCTTCTGTCACTTAACCTGCTTTGTCTGACACTCCTGGGTGGGGCCGAACTGCCCCAGGCTCCCATCTCTGCCAGAGCTGGAAAGATGCCACTTCTCTCTCACCAGTGCCTAACCTCAAGGCTGGGGCAACGGGGCTGGCATTGGTAGGCTTGGTGCCCTGGCTTGGCCACTGATGCCCTGGGGTCCCTCTGTTTCTGTGGACTGTTGGTGAGTCTTAACCTGCTACCTGGGGGCTGTGGTTGCCAGGATGCTGTGCGCACACTGAACACCCTGCAGACCAATGCTGGTTACCTGGAGCAGGTAAAGCGCCAGCGGGGCGACCCTCAGACACAGCTGGAAGCGATGAAGCTGTACCTGGCCCGGAGTGGGCTGCAGGTAAGGTGTGCGAGGCCTGGGACCGCCCACACCCACACGCATGAGTCTGTGGCTGAGGCATTTGTCTATATGTCTCAGGTGGAAGACTTGGACCAGCTGAACATCATTCACGTCACTGGGACCAAGGGGAAGGTGAGGGATAGGACTCAGGGGTAGGGTATTCACCTGATGGGGTGGGAGGGTGGGGCCCTCCCAAACAAGACCTTTTCTTTCTAGGGTTCCACGTGTGCCTTCACCGAACGTGTTCTCCGCAGCTATGGCCTGAAGACAGGATTCTTTAGGTACTGAGGTGTGGAGAAATAGGGGATCTCTTAGCTCTCTGGGGGCGCCGTGGAACCAACTAGCTCCTAGGAGCTCAGCTGCGTGTCTCTTTGCCCAATGTTAATTGACTCAATAACCATTCCCTTAGCTTTTAACATACTGGCCGAAGTTTGTGGCAGCCTTTAACTTTCGTAATGAAACAAATTCGGGAGCGGGGGGCAGCAACTTGAATGTGTAAATGAAGTACATAGCTAGAGTCATCAGGTACCTTTTTATTAAATTCCATGTACAGCTTTTTTTTTTTTTTTAAGATTTTATTTATTTATTTGACAGAGACAGCGAGAGAGGGAACACAAGCAGGGGGAGTGGGAGAGGGAGAAGCAGGCTTCCCGCGGAGCAGGGAGCCCGATGCGGGGCTCGAGCCCAGGACCCTGGGATCATGACCTGAGCCGAAGGCAGACGCTTAACGACTGAGCCACCCAGGCGCCCCCCATGTACAGCTTTTATTAAGATTATTTTATTTTTAAGTAATCTCTAAACCCACTGCGGGGCTTGAACTCACAACCCCACGATCAGGTGTTGCACACTCTACCAACGGAGCCAGCCAGGCGCCCCCACATACAGCTTTAAAATCACAGAGAAATATTTATCACTTTGGATGTCTTTGCAGTAAGGAGCAGAAAATCGGGCTTGTCAGGGCTTAAGCACTGAGGTAGTTTATTATGTCAGTGTGTTGAGGCCTCTCTTCCACTCTGGCGGCCTCAGGTGCCGCTTTACCCTCCAGGCAGCACCTCCTCGTGCTCGCCCTCAGGCAGCCAAACTCACACCAGAGGATGGGGTGTGGACCAGACGTGGGGGCCTCTTCCCTGCGCTGCGCGTACCTCTCCTTAGCTGGTCACCAGTAAAGCAGTGGGATTACGGTGGTGGTGAAGTGCTCAGGATTTGGTCATTGCGGTGGAGGGACTTAAGATTTTTGCTTCCTTTTATTTTACCAGTTCCACCAAGTGACTCATGTAACTGTCTGAAATCAGCTGACTGAGGCCCATTTCGGGCCATGTTTTCTCTCGACAGTTCTTTGTTCAAAAGAAAGAAATGTAGGGAAGGACTTGTAATACAAGAGGGGCTTGGAGGATTCAAATATAAGCTGACGGACGGTCTCTCTTCTAAAATAATTTCTGGGGTGGGGCGACCTGGCTGGCTCAGTGGATGGGTGAGGCGTGCGACTCTTGATCTCTGGGGTTGTGAGTTTGAGCCCCACGTTGGGTCTGGAGATGACTTTAAAAAATAATGAAACCTTAACAAAAATGTTTTTAAAGATATTTTTTGGGTTTAAAAACCCAGCCTTTGACTTCGGCCCATGTAGCCTTGTGGGTCGGCCTGGGGATGCATCTTGAGTACCCAGACGGGGCTTTGCCCTCCAGGGCTGGAAGACACAGTGTGGGGTCAGATGTTGGCAGAGTAACTGATGCGTGTGTGACGGGTAAAGCACAGGGACCTGTTGGAGCCCAGAGCACATTCCTGATCAGCCTGTTGGGGTACCGGGTGGGGCGGGACAACTCAGTTGAGACATGTGGAGGGAGCCAGGTGAGGGGGGCAGGCCGGAGGGGCTGGGGCACAGGGAACTGCTGGGATGAAGGAGGGGTGAAGCACAGAGGCCGACAGCATCAGTCCCACCAGGACCTGGGAGGCTGGGTGAGGAGCTGGGACGCTGGAGGCCAGAGGGAGATCACAGGACCGTAAGCAGGGCAGTGGCATGGTCAGATCTGGGTTTCTGAAGACAGGTGTGAGGGGCTCGGGAAGGGAGTCCCGATGACCACAGGTCTCCCGGCAGCTCTCCCCACCTGGTGCAGGTGCGGGAGCGGATCCGCATCAACGGGCAGCCCATAAGCCCCGAGCTCTTCACCAAGCACTTCTGGCACCTGTACCACCGGCTGGAGGAGACCAAGGTGAGCGTGCAAGAGGACTGGTGGGTGGGCAGGGTAGGGGGCGCTGGAGAGACCCAGAGGGTGCAGTATGTCCCAGAACCCCATCTCCCCAGAGCGGAGGTGACAGGGCCCTGGGCTCTGACATGGTCTTGTCCACAGGACGGCAGCAGCTGTGTCTCCATGCCTGCCTACTTCCGCTTCCTCACACTCATGGCTTTCCACATCTTCCTCCAAGAGAAGGTACGTGCCCGCTCCGCAGAGTCCTGTGTCCGAGGCCATGGGGAGGAGAATCTCAGCAGGCTGGGTGCGCGGGGCCCCTGACATGCCCCCTGGTCCTCTGCAGGTGGACCTGGCAGTGGTGGAAGTGGGCATTGGTGGTGCTTACGACTGCACCAACATCATCAGGTGAGGACCACTGCTTCAGGAGAAGGACGGTGGCCATGAGCCCAGGGCAGTGCCATCATGGCCCTTCTGTCTCCTGCAGGAAGCCTGTGGTATGTGGCATCTCCTCTCTTGGCATCGACCACACCAGCCTTCTGGGGGACACAGTGGAGGAGATCGCATGGCAGAAAGGGGGCATCTTCAAGGTACCAGGCAGTCCTGGGGAGAGGAGGTACCTGGACGGCCTGGGCCTGGCCCTCAAGGCTCAGGCAAGCAGGGCTGGGACAGGGTCATCTGTAACCTGACTCAGGATAAGGTCTTGGGCATCAGCAGGGTCTGGAGCAAGTGGGGTCTGGCGGGGGGAGGCGAAGTGAGCTGCCCAGACCCAGGGATGGAGGACCCTCAGCAGCCCGTCTCCCTCCTTCCCTCCCTCTCCTCCCCAGCATGGCGTCCCTGCCTTCACGGTGCTCCAGCCTGATGGTCCCCTGGCAGTGCTGCAGGACCGTGCCCAGCAGATCTCCGTGAGTCCAGAAGCCCTGGGGCGGGGGTGGCAGCTGACTGGGGAGGCACGTCATCCTTTTGGGCCTCAGTTTGCCCATCTGTGCAGTGAGGGGTAACTGCTCGTCCAGCTGGAGCACATTTTGGTTCTCAGATCCAAGCTTGGTGGGTTCTGGTTGATGTGGAAAGATGGAAGGACTCATAGCGTCAGGGAGGGCTCCCTTGACCCAATGTTGCCCGTCTCCTTGGCAGTGTCCTCTCTACCTGTGCCCACCACTGGAAGCCCTGGAGGAAGGGGGGCCACCGCTGACCCTGGGCCTGGACGGAGAGCACCAGCGGTTCAACGCCGCCTTGGCCTTGCAGCTGGCTCGCTGCTGGCTGCAGCAAAAGGGCCACCAGGGTAAGTGGGCGGCGTGTGGGGAAGGGGCACGTGGAGCCTGCCTCTGAAGGTCCCCTGCACACTCAGTCCACACAGCAGCCCCTCCCCGTCCCTTGCTCCTCAGGCCTCGGGGAGCTGAAGGTGTCTCGGCCCAGCGTCCTGCGGCAGATGCCCCTGGCACCCGTGTTCCAGCCCACGCCCCACATGCGGCATGGTGAGGCAGACCTTCCTGGCCAGCCAGGCCCCCTCAGATGGTTCTTTGAGTTTCCTGTTTGAGAGGTGGGGGCGGTTTGAGATGGTGCCCAGGACAAAGGCCTCTGAAGTCAGTCAGCTTCCCTGGTTCGTGAACTCTGAGCGTCCGTTTTCCCACCTGCCAAATGAGGTGATGACAGGACCCACTGTGAGGTGACATCACTAAGGGGCTGAGGCCAGGGCCTGGTGGGTTTGGGATATAGCGCCCAGTCAGTGGTTGCTGCTGTTACTGGCACTCTTTTTTTTTTTTTTAAGATTTTTTATTTATTTATTTGACAGAGACACAGCGAGAGAAGGAACACAAGTAGGGGGAGTGGGAGAGGGAGAAGCAGGCTTCCCGCGGAGCAGGGAGCCCGATGTGGGGCTCGATCCCAGGACCCTGGGATCATGACCTGAGCCGAAGGCAGATGCTTAAGGACTGAGCCCCCCAGGCACCCTGTTACTGGCATTCTTGTCATCATTGTAAGACCATGAGATCTGGAGAGAACAGACATATTGTCAGGCTTCTTGCTTCCCCCGAAACTTTCAGCCCATAGTAGGTGCTCATAGCAGCTAAACCCCTTTCGCCAATGATTCCAGTGCGCCCACTGTGTGCCAGTCCCCAAGTCAGGGCCATGACAGGAGCCAGGCAGATCTTGGATCACATCCGGGCACACTTGGCTCTGTGACCTAATCTCTCTGGGCTAAGGGCTCTCCGCCTACATGTAATATGGGACTAATAGATGATAGGGCTGCGGGGAAGATTCCATCAGAGGAGGCAGCCCAAGAGCTGATCCCAGTGGCTGGCGCCTAAGAGTGAGCGGCAGCTTGGCTGAAAGGGCTCAGGGTGGGCAGCCTCAGCCTCCCAGCAGCGAGCAGCAGGGGGCCCTGCGGGCAGGTTGTGTGTGTGAGTTGAGGACCAGGGTGGGAGCCGGCTGCCTTGCGCCCTGCAGGGCTTCGGGACACGGAGTGGCTGGGCCGGACGCAGGTGCTGCGGCGCGGGCCCCTCACCTGGTACCTGGACGGCGCGCACACCACCAGCAGCGTGCAGGCCTGCGTGCGCTGGTTCCGCCAGGCGCTGCTCCGGGGCCAGAGGCCCGGCCGGTGAGCTTCCGGGGCGGGGCTGCGCGGAGCCTGGCTGGGGGGGAAGGGGGGTTGGGATAGCGTCGGGGTCAGGACTGGGCCAGGAGGGAGGGACGGGGCCTGCGGGGGGGGGGGGGGGGGGGGGTAGAGGGGCCAGATGCTGGGGGGCGCTGCTGGGACTGGACCAGGGAGGAGGAGAAGCTTCTGGAGGAAGGATGGGGCAGGGCCCGCAGAGAAGGGTGGGAGGTACCCCTCTCTCACCACCACCCTACCCCCCCCCCCCCCCCCCCCCAGCGGCCCTGAGGTACGCATCTTGCTCTTCAACTCCACCGGGGACCGGGATTCCGCGGCCCTGCTGAAGCTGCTGCAGGTGAGGGGCAGCTGGGGGGTGGTCGGGTTCTGGTGGCCCCTGGTTCTGGCCTTGGGATCCCCAGAGGTGCCTTCATCCCTGGGCCTCTGACTTTAAAATGGGGCTCCCCAGAACGGTAGTGAGGATTAAATGTAAAGGCATTGGCCTCGTAGGGAGGTCTAGGCCCAGGTAGGTCACTGCCCTCACCCTGCGGGGTCAGGCTAAAGCCCAGAGTTAAAGGGAGGACCAGGTAGGGGCGGAAGGTATAGGACTCGCTTGGCATGCCCCTTCAACCACTAGCATATGACTCTAGACAAGAGATGGCATTTCAGAGATGGTTTAAGGAGTTTCTGAGTTAATAGAACATGTAGGGGCCCCTCTCTGCTCAGGGAAGTTGAGGTGCCCTTAGCTATCAGGGCCGAAGTGGGTCCTGGGGATCATTTCCTATTTCACAGACCAGGAGGCTGAACCTGTTCATCTCTCTCATTGTGCAGACAAAGCCTTTCCTCATCCTGGATGGCTGGGTGGTCTTAAGTCCCCCTTCCCCAGCCTCAGTGTTCCCATCTGTACAGTGGGCCGTGCTGCCCAGGTCATGGGCCTACAGGGCATACTGAGGTAGATGGGCCGCTGAGGTGCTATGGCTGGGTTTATACAGCTTCACTCCAGTTTAGCTGGGTGGGGGCCTCTCCAGATATGGGGATGTGGGGGGGGGCACCCCGGGGGGTGCTGTGTGCAAGTTGGGGTGGTGGGGCATCCTCTCGGGACTCTGACATCAAGTCTTTCCTCTTGGCCTAGCCCTGTCAGTTTGACTATGCTGTTTTCTGCCCTAACCTGACAGAGGTGTCGTCTGCTGGCAATGCAGGTGAGAGGTGACAGGCATGGCCTCTGGGCGCAAGCAGGGGCTGGAAGGCCCTTCAGTGGGCTGCTCTGATGGTGACAGTGGGGGCTTCGGAACGGGAGGTCCAGTGAAGGAGCTAGATTTGTTTTATTGTATAGATAAACGCTCCTTGGTACGTTTTGGATATTGGGACCGCGGTACCAGAACAGAATTACTGGGTTGGGGGCTGCGGGGAATGGTTTTCAAACTGCAGGCTGCAACCCACCGATGGTTTTACAATCAACTTAGTGGGTATAAACCAGCATTTTTAAAAATGAAATAGAAAATATATGTGCCTTGCATGAAGGGTAGATGTTGTCTTATGACGATTCTGTCCCAGACACCTGTATACACCTGTCGGAGTACTGAGTTGCCATCATAAAGTGTATTTTTTACTGTGGGTCACGTTCAAAAAAATTTGAAATAGCGTAAAAAAAAATGCAGATCGCCTGGTCCAACATCAGGCCATTGGGGAGAGTCCAGGAATCTGCATTTCTACTTATGCCCACCTGTGTGCCGGACTCTGCTTTACAGTTGAAGGCAGTGAGCCTGGGGTGGAGAGATGTGTTCAGTGGGCAAAAGCCCCAGCTTTGGAGCTAAGCTGCCTGGCCCTGCTTCCCACCAGCTCTGGGACCGGCGGCAAGTCACCGTCTGCGTCTCTATTTCCTCCCAGCACGGCCTGCTGTGAGGCCTGATGGTGCGGGTAAAGGGCCTGGCTTTGTTTTTGTTTTTTTTTTTAAAGATTTTATTCATTTGACAGAAAGACAGCGAGAGAGGGAACACAAGCAGGGGGAGTGGGGGAGGGAGAAGCAGGCTTCCCGCGGAGCAGGGAGCCCGACGCGGGGCTCGATCCCAGGACCCTGGGATCATGACCTGAGCCGAAGGCAGACACTTAACGACTGAGCCACCCAGGCGCCCCAAGGGCCTGGCTTTGAGCAGGTGCTCACAACGTGCCTCCCCTGCCCCCCGCCCCCCCCCCTCGCCGCCAGTCCCTCTGGCTGATGTGCCCATCCTTATGCCCCGCAGACCAGCAGAACTTCATGGTGACCCTGGACCAGGTGCTGCTCCGTTGCCTTGCACATCAACAGTACTGGAGCCACCTGGCTGAGGCGCAGGCCAGCCCAGACCTCTGGAGCCCCCCCAGCCCGGAGCCTGGTGAGCCCACATCCTCGCTGCTGGCTTCCGACCCACCCTGCACCCATAGCACCAGCTCCCTCGTCTTCAGCTGCATCTCCCACGCCCTGCAGTGGATCAGCCAAGGCCGGGACCCTGTCTTTCAGCCACCCAGTCCCCCACAGGGCCTCCTTGCCCACCCTGTGGCAGGCAGTGGGGCCGGTGTGCTCCGCGAGGCTGCCGCCATCCATGTACTGGTCACGGGCAGCTTGCACCTGGTGGGCGGCGTCCTGAAGCTGCTGGAGCCTGCCCTGTCCCAGTAGCCCAGGCAGTGGGGGTAGAAGTGGGGGTCTCCCATGCCTGCCCTGCAGCTCTCCATGAACTCCTGTTAGGTGCCTTTTGTCGGCTTTTCTGATGCTGTCCACACTGGCCCAGGGGCCTGGGCTCTGGGCAGCAAGATCAAGGGCTAGAGCAGGGGAGGCCAAGATAGGACATCCTCTGTCTGAGCCTAGGGTGCCTTTGGCCTCTCCTTCCTCCTGAGGCAGCCCGAGGGCTTCCTGGTTCTCCCACTGTTGGTAGCAGGCCAGACTATGCAGCCCACCTCCCTTGCCACCCTTGCCTGCCTCCTGGCTCCGGCCCAGCTTACTATGTGAGCTGCCTGGCCAGGCCTAGGGTCCTCTAGGGTGCTGGTTGATAGATTACCTCTTAGTGGCCTTCTGGGGAAGAGAGGGCTCCTGCCTGGGGCCCACCAGAGACAGAGGATGGCTGGAGTCAATTAAAGCCTTTAACTTTTTTAAAAAAAGGAAATGGCAAAATGTTTGAGCGACTCAATCTCTAGCTCTGTTAGCACACAGTAGGGGCATGAGGGCTGCAGCTGGTCCAGGAACTGGACAGGGGAGGAACCCAGGCTGTAGGGCCTGGGACAAGCCGCCGCCCCCCTCCCCCCGCCCCGGCCCCTGAGCCTCAGGGGGTCTGTCTGCAGCCAGAACACTGGACTCAGGTCCGTTGGCCACAGGCCAGGCATGGATTTGCAGACCTCCCCCCAGAGACCTTGTGACAGATGAGGGAACTGTGGCTGGCTCAAACAAGCCACGGAACCTGGCCACAGTCACATAGCCAATTCAGTGGCAGATTCAGGATTTGACCCCAGAGCTGTCACTTCCCCACCCATTTTAGGCTTCCTGCCCCTTGTCCCTGCCCAGCCCAGCACGGATTTCATGGTCTAATTTATTGGTGGTGAGTATATAGGGGTGGGTCCAGGCCAGACAGTAGGGCCACTTCCCATCAGATGCCTGCCTCGGGGGGGTGTGTGTGTGTGTGTGCAGGGGGAGTCTCCATGTGACAGTTGCGGGAGGAGCTAGGTTCCCCTCTTCCAGGCTGGGCACCCCTAGGCTTCTGTTTCCCTTGCCAGAGTAGTGCCAGGCCAGGTGTGGAGGCTGCTGGGAGCAGGTCCAGGTGGCTCTGGGCTGGCCCTCTTCTGTTTCCGTGCAGGAGGCCTGGGTGAGTCCGTTTTGAGTTCTTCCCTCCCACCTAGCCCAGGTCACCAGGTGCTGGATCCAGGTAAAAACTACAGGGACTCGGTTTCTACAACAGTGTGGACTTATAGGGCAGTGGTCTCTCTCTCCATGGTCCTGGGCAGCTGTAGTCCGGGCCCACTGGGTTTGAAGGTTCGGTGGGGTGGGGTGGGGGGACCCCAAGGTGTTCCAAGCTGGTGCCTCCGCTGGCAGCAGGCCTCTGAGAGGGAGGCAGGAGGGGTGGGCGCAGAGGGCATGGTCCATCCTTGGTCGAGTGGAGAGGTTGGGGTCCCGGGATAAGTTCATGGCCAGTGGTTCCCAGCTGGTGGCTGCTCAGTCTCTCCTGCTGGGCGAGCGCTGGCTGGGGGGCCCCCAGGTCTCCGGGCCGGGTGCTACGCCATGCTGCTGGTGGAGCAGGGGGTGCTCTGGGTGCTCCCGATGCTGTGGTTGGTGCTACTGCTCTCTGAGGAGGCCGGGGCAGCCACCGCCACCACGGGCTCCCGCTTGCCAGGGGGACCTGGGGGCAGGGGCGGAGGTCAGGGCCCCGGCCAGGGCTCCCCGCTCCCCCAGAGGCTCCCCCGGGCTCCCCCCTGGTGATGGTGGCAGAGGGATCCTGAGCACTCATGGTGGGGGCCTGGGATACTCACGCGTGTGCGAGTAGATGTACCAGAGTGCGGCGGTGAGCAGGGCCCCAATGAGGAAGGCGCCAAAGGTGATGCCCAGCACGGCGGGCAGGACAAGGCCTTTGTCTGCGCACGCAAGGGAAGGATGGCTGCAGTCAGTGCTGTGGCCCCCTCCCTAGGCCCCCACTGTGTTGTGCTGGCCAGGGGCACAGGTTTGGGCGTCAGTCCCAGCTCGGCCACTGACCCTGACTTCCCTGGGTCTCAGTCTTCTCATCTAGCAGATGGATTCATCACACCCATGCCTGGCACTGAGCCATGGCTGTTCTGACCATCCCCCTAGCCAGGCCTTTGGGCCATGCCTCTGCCTTCCAAGGCTGATGGAGATGCACTTTAAGGGAGAATGGATGGTATAATCTGAGCTAAAAGTAAGTGGGGCCTGGGAGTGGGTAGGTAGGAATTCCTACTATGGTAGGAATGGGCCGGAGTACTTCTGAGGGCTCTTCAGCTCTGCTCTTGAGTTTTTCCAGGCCTCATTCCATCCACACTCCTGACTCCTGGGTGACTGTGGGCTTCCCCTTGGACACTGAGTTCCCATCGATGCAATGGGGTGATTGGCCCTGCTGTCTTGGTCATGGGCTGGGGTCAGGGCTCTATCCTAACCCAGGTACGGTGGCAAGGAAGCAGGTGCCCCTGACCTCTACCTCCAGTATCAGTGACCCTTTCTGTCTGCTGGGGGCCCGGGCCCACAGGGAATAAAAAAGGAGGCTGGAGGGTGCTGGGCTGAAGGAGCATCCTCCACACTGGGGGCCTTAAGAAGGTGAGGCCAGCCCTGCTCCAGCGTGCCTTCTGCCTCATTTGATTCCAGGACCTCTACGCCCACCCTAAGCAAGGTAGCTAGCAACTATGGGGATTAAGGAAACCTAAATGCCTGGGATCTGGTCCATGGGGTAGTCAAGAGCAAAGGCTTTCTATCTAGAAGATAACAGCATGGATCCTACACTAGGCTGCTGGGGGCCCTTCTGCCCCTCCTCCCAGGGATGCTCTCTCTGGGGTCCTCCCTGCATGTGTCTATGCTACAAGCCCTCTGGGCCACCCATCAGGTCCCACACTGGCCTCAGCCGCTGGAACCCTAGAGAGACTCACCAGGCAGGCCAGGGCTGACGATGTTCAGACGCGTAGAGATAGTCCTGTGGGTGTCCTGGGGGAGGAAAAGAGTGGTGGATAGCACAGCCTGCAGGAGGCAGTGACTGGGCTTATTCCCTGGCTCTGTGACCATGGCCTGTCACAACCCGCCCTGGGGCCTTGGCTTTGGATCCTATCCCACCACTTTCTAGCTGTGAGCCTTTGGGCAAGTCCTGGGAGATCCATGCTGAGGGAGGGTGTTGGGTGGACAACCCTTGGCTGCTACTAGGATGCTCCCTGGGAGGCTCCTGAATCCCATGAGGGTTGTAGGGGCACTCTACACTGCATCTGTGACCCTTGTGAACACCTCGGAGAGATGAGTCAGGTTAGCCCAGAGGCCCATGCTGAGGGGGGAAGACCCACTCAGGAGTGGCCCCAAAGGCTTGCCTAGCTTCATACAACCCGAAAAGTTTCTGATCCTGGAGACCCTTGTGTGTGCCAGGACCTGGGGATGTGTGTGTGTCCAAGGCTGTGTGCCTGAGGACAGGGATTCCCCCACTGGATGGTGAAGGAGAAAAATCAGAATTTTGCGTCCTTTATCTTAACCCTCTTTGCGGAGATCTCCTGTTTAATGCAATGACATTGGTGACCGTACCACGTGGAAAGATGGGTGAGTGCATGGATTCCTGGGTGGACGGATCAGTGGACGACTGGGTGGGGTGGTGGAAGGACTGTGGATGGGTGACTGGGTGGGGTGGTAGAAGGCAGGATGGATGGAGGGGGATGGATGGAAGGGTAAACAGAGGGAAGAATGGATAGATGGAAGAGGAGGACAGATGGAAGGGGGATGAGCTAAGGGTGGATGGAAGGAAGGAAGGATGGTAGAAGGATGCATGACTGGAAGGAAGAAAGGGTGGGTGGGTGGGTGGAAGAAATGCATGAAGGATGGAAGGATGACTGCCAAGGATGAATGGATGGTGGGAGGATGAGTGGACGGAAGGACGGATAGATAGTGGAAGGAAGGATGGATGGGCGGATTGAGGAAAGCAAGCAAGGAAGGACGGGTAGTAGAAGGGTGGATGGGCACAGCTGCAAACCCTAACGTCCAGTACACAGCAAAGCCATCAGAAGGCTGTAAGGTGGCAGAAGGCGTAGCCACGGCAAGCAGAAGCCACCCGCCAGTCTGGTTCTGCCCCCTACCAGCTGGTCCCACATCATGGGCTGTCGCATCCCTTCCTGGAAACCCTAGACCCGAAGCCACCCTTGAAGCCGCTGCCCCACTCACCGGGGACAAACTCCTCGAACGCAAGGCTATGGTGCAGCTGAGGGTGCCGGTCGTGGGTGTGGGCACCATGTAGCCACGGAGGAGGAAGCTGAAGCGCACATCCCCACCAGGGCCTGGGGACAGCAGGCTTACACAGCTGCCCTTGGTGGTCTGGCTCTGGATGAGTTCCACGGTGTCCGCGTCAGGCCCCAGATCCAGGCGGCAGCTGTCCAGCTGGAGCATGAGCTCCGGGATTGACGGGGACATGCTCACCTACGTGGGTAGTAAGAGTGACGGGGCATGGTCAGTTTACTCAGTGCTGCCCTCGTGAAATACGCTAGGTTCGTTCTGAGGCTCCACCCTGGCGGTGGAAGGACAGTCCTGGGTCCGCCTAGAGCAAACAAGGAGGGGACGTTCCACCCAGTGTCTCTGTGCTGTCCCTCCCCTCTGCCGTGTACCCTGCCGGCTCCCTCCTTTGGGGAGTTCGGTGCACACCTCCCCTCTACTGATGGTACAGTGAAAGGCTGAGAATCCCAAGAATGGGCAGGCCTGAGAGGTCAAGTCCAGTACCTGCACAAAGCCCTGTTGCCCCAGCTCGATGGTGTGGGAGACCTGGAGGAAGTGTGGGCTGAGGTACAGGCCCAGCTGGAAGGAGAGGCTCTCCATGTTGATGCAGTGCACCTTCTTCTGTGGGAGATAAGGGGGCATGGTCAGTCTGGGAGGCACCCGGCCAGAAAGGTAAGGAGTTGGGGTGGGAGCGCGAGCCATGGTCCCGAGTTGCTGCCTGACCCTCCTTTAAAACAAAGCTAATCTTTATCAAGAACTTGCTCTGTGCCAGGCCTGGGTGAATGCTTTCCCCTGTGTCCGATCAGTGACTGCTCATAAGCACCCCCACGGGGGAGATCCTTTTTTAGGCCCCTGTTTACAGATACAGCCTTTGGGTCCAGAAAGCTTAACTGATTTGCACAAGGCCACACAGCCAGTATGTACTAGAACATTCTGGCTTGAGAGGCTGAGAATGGAACCCGGAACAGTGCTGCTTCCCTTGTACAAAAGGGGAGGCTGAGGCACCCTGCAGATTACATGGCCTGCCAGGATCGGGGCCTGAGTTTCCTGAGGCCTGCTTCCCTCCCAGGCCAGGAAGGGGCACCAGGACCCTGAACCAGATGGGTTAGCATGGTAACCATCCATCTCACCCACTGTGGTGATGAGCTTGACAAGAGGTTGACGACCACCTGCAGAAAAAGAGCCAAGGAACAGGTCAGAGCCAGGAAGTACCCCAGAGGGTAGCCCACCCAACACACCCATTTTATGGATGGGGGGACTGAGGCAACCAATGGCTAATAAGCTTGTCTTCCTACTGAGCACCACAGCCCCCTCTCCCAAAGGCCCACTGGCCTCGAAGGTCAAGGAGGCACCAGCTAAGCTGGCCGATACCTTTCCTGCCCGCCCTTTTTCTTACCTCATTCCTGACCACATTTTCTGTCACTTTCATGCCACAGTTGGAGTAGGTGCTGCGCAAGACAAACTGGTCATCTCTGTCCTCAGCCTGGCAGCTGGGGTCCGAGAAGGTCAGGCTTGTGATGGTGCACCTCAGAGTCTGGGCCAGGGTTGGAGTGGAGGGGCACCGTCAGGAGGTGTGGGGCTTTCTGGAGTCTGTCCCTCACACCCCAGCACCAAGGACTGACCGAACTCAGGGCTCCCGAATCACAGCCATTCCTCTCCTCCCCTCTTCATTTTTGTTAGATCTTATCAGACTACACCATTTAAGACAATACTTTTCCTGAACTACACTCACTTTTGTACTTAGCCTTGTCCTAAGCAATAATATCTGTGGCATCATGAGCTTGATTTGCTACTTTTCTCCTAATGTGTGTAATTAGAATAAATGCAGACGTATTAAAAACACTCATTTGAGTTCTACATATAATCATTGCCCACAGCCCCAGGGGCATGGAGATCCCACCAGCATAATCCAGTCTCGGAACCCTAGACTCAGGGGCGCCTGGGTGGCTCAGTCGGTTGTGTGTCTGCCTTTGGCTCAGGTCACAATCCTGGAGTCCCGGGATGGAGCCCTGCATTGGGCTCCCTGCTTAGCGAGGAGTCTACTTCTCCCTCTGCCCCTCACCCCACTCTCTCCCTCTCTCTCAAATAAACTAAAAAAAAAAAAAAAAAAAGAGCCCTAGACTCTTAGATCCAGAGTTGGCAAATTTTTCCAATAAAGGGCTGGATGGTGAATCTGTTAGGTTTTGTGGGTTATGTGGTCTCTGTTGTAATTACCCAACTTTGCCACCAGAGCCTGAAAGCAGCTATAGAGCATACATAAAAGAATGGGTGTGGCTGTATGCTAATAAAACTTTATTTACAAAAACACGCAGAGGGCCACAGTTGGTCATCTCCTGTCCTAGTAGAATCAATCTTAGAATTTTTCAGTCACGCTCTTAGGATCAAAGAATCTTGGCGTCTTTTGAGTTGAGTGAGCTGTTGGAGTTCCCACTTGAATCCAGCTAACTCACATCTCCAGAATGCCACCCTGACTGCATCCCTCCTCAGGTAGATAACACCTTAGGAGAGAACAGCCCACCAAATAAAAATGACTCTGGGTGAAGCCCCAGTGACACCTACCCTGGGATCCAAATTCTGCACACTGACCCCATTTCTTAACTCAATGAGAGGGCAGAATGTTCCATGTTGGGGTGATTCTGTTCAGACCCTTTTCTTTGTATTTTCTTCTATATGGATGCTGTACACAGAGAAAATGGCAGGTTTGTTTTTGTTTTTGTTTTAATTTGGACTGGGCAGCAGTCATGCCGGCTAATGCTGCCCCTGCACGGTCTCCTCCGCTTCCTGGCACCTGCCGGGCCAGATGGAGGTAGAGGGGGAGAAGAGATGGGTAGCAGACAGCTGATATTTCATATCGCCCCTGTACCCCAAAGCCCCCAAAAACGTCCATGTGCACTTAACTACAGATTTAAGCGTCATTCTAAAGATCCCTGAGGTCATGGGTGATTTGTCAAGGTTCTGGCTGAGATTTCCTGCCTCAGGCCAGGAGAAATCACACAGGGGAAGATGGGCACCTAGGATGGCCCAATGTTTTAAAATGTCCCTAAACACAAAAATCCCTGTAGCCCAACTTTAGAATTATAATAAGGATAAATTATTTCAAATTAGAATGGTGGACGAAGGGTCCCAAATTTTTTTTCTTTATGTAAAATGCTTATAAAAATCATCAAGAAAAATACTGAGCTACGTTGATAAAGAGCCTTAGATTATTATAAGTCACATGGAGTCATGCTCACACTCGCTACTAATCAAAGAATTATAAACTGAAACAAGAGTGGACACCACGTCCCACGTCTCACGTTGGCAAAGCTTTATTTAATTTTTAAAATTCTATTATTTTTTTTAATTTTTATTTTTGTACGCACGCTCTGCCGCCCAACGTGGGGCTTGAACTCATGATCCCAAGATCAAGAGTCGCATGCTCCACCCACTGAGCCAGTCAGGCGTCCCGGCAAAGATTTTTTTTTTTTTTTAAACAAAAATAGTCTGGAGAGAGAAATCAAAGTGCTCTCCTAAACTGGCAGTGAAAATTGGAATCCTCTTTCGGAAAGTGGGGTGGCAACATGTATCAAAACTTACAGAATATTCATGCATTCTGACCCAGCAATCTCACTAATGTGGAAATCTAGCCTAAGAAAACAATCCTACATAAAGAATGCATCACCATGCATATTTTCTATATGTGTATATAAATACACATATTTTCTGTGTATTTATAATGTCGCACAATTGGAAGCAACCTAAATGTCTAACAAGGGAGGAGTTAATTATGGCATGCCAATACGATGAAATAATTTGTGCTTATTAAAGCGACATTAAGTACATATGTCAAAGGCCTAAAAATACAGTAGGTGAATATAGCAGGAGACAAGTGCATTGGAGATAATGACACCACATAAGAAATACACAGAGGACACATTCCAGAAAGAAAAACACTAAAATATTGGTAGCCACGGTCTTTGGGCAGGAAGGTTGAGATTTTCTTTTCTAATTTTTCACATTAAAAAAAAAAAAAACAGCATTGGGGCATGTGGGTGGGGGTGGCTCAGTCATTAAGTGTCTGCCTTCGGCTCAGGTCATGATCCCAGGGTCCTGGGATTCCCTCTCCCACTCCCCCTGCTTGTGTTCCCTCTCTCGCTGTCTCTCTCTCTCTCTGTCAAATAAATAAATAAAATCTTTAAAAAAAAAACACACAGTAAGATATGAGTGGTTGGGGCGCCTGGGTGGCGCAATCAGTTGAGGGAGTGACTCTCGGTTTCCGCTGAGGTCATGATCTCAGGGTCGTGAGATCAAGCCCTGTGTCAGGCTCCATGCTCAGCGTAGAGTCTGCTTGAGATTCTCTCTCCCTCTACCCCTCCTGCTTGTGCTCTCTCTCTCAAATAAATAAATCTTAAAAAAAAAAAATGAGTGGTGGATTAAGTAAAACTATTAAATCAACATTAATTCCACCGAAGTTGCTAACTGTACTATTGTTATGTAGGAGAATATCCTTATGCTTAGTAAATACACACTGGAGTCTTTATGTATAAAGAACCATGAGGTATAAAGTCTATGCTTAAATCGTTCAGGACAAGTTATATACAAGCATATATACATACCCCTGCATGTGTGAATGTTATAACATATAACACACATACATATATAATCCTACATTACGTGTTTCTATCTATACATTCTTGCGATATGCACGCAAATGGATGTGTATATATAGGGATATATATCTCCCCATGATATGAAATAATTTTATCTGAGCAAAGGGTGTACACGTGGGCTGTTTGTACTATTCTCATTCTTACAACTTTTCTGTGAGCTTAAAATCATTTCCAAATAAAAAGTTCAAAAAATTGCTCTCGTTTCCTACATGACGAGTGGACTGGGGATTGCTTGGTCCGTCTGCTCCCCGAAATTATTTGGCTAAACCTCTGCCTGCCCAGCGACCCAGCAGCTCCACCTCTGGGCGTGTACCTAGTTGATATGAGTGTTTATGTCAACCTAAGACTTGTACAGGAAGGTACACAGCCGTTTATTCTTACTCGCCTCAAATGGGAAACAACCCCAATGCTCCTCAACAGTAGAATGGATAAATGAATGGTAGCTCAGTAACTCAATGGAATAAATACAACACCACAGTTAAACCTCAAAGCTGTAACACTGAGTGTAACAAGCAAGACACAGAAGGGTGCCCATTATATGGTGACTGTCTGTCAAATAAATAAATAAAATCTTTTATTTATTTATTTGACGGAGAGAGACAGCAAGAGAGGAAACATAAGCAGGGGGAGTGGGAGAGGGAGAAGCAGGCTTCCCGCTGAGCAGGGAGCCCGATGCGGGGTCGATCCCAGGACCTCAGGATCATGACCTGAGATGAAGGCAGACGCTTAACATCTGAGCCACCCAGGCACCCCATAAATAAAATCTTTAAAAAAATAAAAATTAAAAAAATCCAGTGTTATTCTTATAGTAAATACCCTTGTTCTTCAGTTGGGCAGAGATCATACTGTATAGATATTGTGTTGAGTGCCCGCCGGGCTCAGCCTGCATTTAGGATGAATTAATGATGACTAGTACCTGTTTGCTGAGCACTTACTGTGCACCACATCTGGCTCAGCATTGTCAGACCTCATTTAATTCTTCCTGCACGGCAGTTACCATTATCAAGCCCATTTCACAGGTGGAAAAACTGAGGCTTGCAGAGGGATGGGATTTGTCTCCCTGCCTGAGTCAGGACCCCAAGACTCTTGGCCTAAAGGAAGGACCAGCTACCCATGTCCCCAGGGGTTCCCTTACCGAGATGAGATCTTTCTTGAGCACCACAGTCATGACATCTTTGGAGCAGTTGGGCTGGATCAGGGACAGGAGCAGCTCCTGGTTGCAGCTTTCCTTGGGAGGGGTGGTCCGGACGGGTGGGGGAGAGGTCTGCGGCCCACCACCTGCCAGGCAGCAGAGGCCAGAGGGCAAGTCACTGAGTGCTCCCTGGGCACTGGGCACCGAGTGCTTCCCTAACGACTTTCACTGTCCTCGCCTGCAGCTGCCGCAAGCACCCTGCTCACACAGCAGTCCCAAGGCCACTGATCCCAGGAGAGGGCAAAGGAGGGGAAGAGGGTGCTCACCGCAGCTGTGGGCCTGCAGTGAGACGACACTGGCCAGAGGGAGCTCCACAAAGGACGCTACCATGCTGGCGTTGAGTCTCCGGGCCTCCCCCAGCAGGCCTTGGGGTGTATCCGGGAGCACAAAGCCACGGATGTTCTTCTCTGGAAATATCTTGAAGGAGTATTCACCAGTGGTCTAATGACAGAGCAGGGAGCCACAGACACAGTCAGGGGGGCATGCAGCCTGGCAGGGGCGCCACCAGGGCCAGCCAGGGTTATGCCAGGCCTCTGCCACTCTATCCTTTGCTCCTACTTGCTTCCTCCCCCTGGGCCACCTCCCGTCATCTACCGACTCCTGCTTGTCCTTCAAACCAGCTTGCGGTTCGCTTCTCCAGGAATCTTCCCTGGCCCTGTGGGCTGGGGTAGGGGCCTTCCTAGGGGATGACGGAAGGCTTCGTGAAGGAGGCACCATCTGGGTGAAGGTTTGAAGAATAGCTAGTGCACAGAGGAAGGGGGTGGTTGTGTAAGGGCTCACGGCTGGGGGGCTGATGCCGGGAGTTTGGGTTTTCTCTCCGGAGAGCCTTGGCAAGGCCTGTGCCCGGCTGTCTGGGTTGCGGAGCAAGACTCACCCAGATCTGCATGTTGTGGTTGGCGTCGATGAGCCAGGACACGTAGGACGGACCTTGCAGGATAAGCACAGCGTCGGGATCCCCTGAAGCACAGCGCAGCTCCACCTTGACGGTCACTGTCCGGGGCCTGCAGGGAGACAGACCCTGGCGTCAGCCCGGGGCAGGAATGTGGGGTTGAGCGGGGCCTGATGGAGACTGGTCGGGAGGGGACTAGGCCTGGGTCAGGTGGGCAGCCGCTGAGCACCTTCACCTGGTCACTGAAGGCGGGCGGGAGGGGCGTGGAAGTGGGCGGGGCTTGGCCCGCAGGGGCAGGCCCCAGAGCTAAGGTGGCGGTAACTACACTCTTACCCAGCCCCGGATGGGCCGGGCTTGATGTGGGCGGGGCTCGATGTGGGCGGGGCTTGATGTGGGCGGGGGCGGGCGCCCTTACCCGGCCTCGGTGCCTGGCAGGACCCTCAGGATGTGCGCTTCCTTGTGGCCAGGCACACCTTCCAAACGGCAGCCCCGGACAGAGGCGCGAGTGAGCGGGCTCCATTCGAGAGTGTGGCCCATGTCCGTGAGGGGTTCCGGATTGCAGGAGGATGGTACCCTCTGGGCTGTGGGGACAAGCGCACCTCAGTTCCCTCCCTGAAAAGACTGGCACTAATACAGAGGCCCACCCTCACCCACAGTAAAGGGGGGGATGGGCAGGATGGAGCAGCAAAGAAGTGGGGTGCCCGGGAGGCCCTGAATTCAAATCTCCCCTCCACCGCTTACTGCCATGTGACTGGGGGCAAGCCCCCTGGCCTGTTTCCTCATCTGTGGACACAGGGTTAATAAAGGCACGAACCCATGGCACGTGTTAGGTGTGCAGTCCTGCGACCACCAGCACATCACCTCACTTTTCTCTTTCCTATGGCATTTACCATGACCGGAAATTATGGAATTTTTGAAATTATGGAATTACTTTGGAATTATTATATGGAATTGTAATTATTCAATTATTATTCAATTATGGAATTATTCATCTGTGTACATATTTACTGTCATCTCCTCACCAGTGTTGGCTCCAGAATGGCAGGATCTGGGTCTGTCTGCACAGAGTCCCCAAATGCCTAGCATAGGACTGAGCACATAGTAGGTGCACAATAAATAAACGTGCTGCTTTCGAGGCCAAAAATTACTCTCCCCATAGAGCACTGACTTGTTATATGTGACCTGGGGCAAATCACATCCCATTTTGGAGCCTTAGTGTCCACATCTGAGAATGGGCCAGGAGAATTCACATTTCTTCAGAGCTGAGTCCTGAGCCCAGAGAAGCTGCGGGGGAAGCTGACCTTGGTCCAGACGGAGGAGGATGCTTTGAGGGTCGTTCAGCTCAGCGATAGATGCAATGGGGCCCTTCGCTTCTGCCCAGTCGAGGAACTGCTTCTGGGTGGTGAAGGGTGGCAGCTGTGTCGTGTTGACTCCTGGGTGCCCTTGGAAGATCAGTGTGGGGTTCTAGGAAGACACAGGGAGGCTCAGGGTGCTGAGGGCCTGAGGGCCATTCAGGAGGTTGGGAGGTAATTTGGGGAGGCAGCCAGTGGCTGAGAGGAGGCAGGGCTGAGGATGCTGAGGTTGATAGACCTGAAGTCAACCCAGAGCCCTTCCACACCTGGTGCCGGATGGAGACATGTCCTTGTTCATCCAGCTGCCCAAACATCACCTCCCCAGCCCTCCACAGTCTTACTCATACCACCCACACTTGTGACATCATGTGGCTAGGGTCTGTGAGACACAGCGTCTGCCCTGCCTATCCCTGCATGGTGCCGGACACATAGTAGGCACCGGGAAATACTTGACTTTCCTGACCCGTCAGCTTTACCCACATACCTAGCACACAGCGGGTCCTCCCTGCACAAGGGGAGGGAGGAAGGAAGGAAAGAAGAAACAGATGAATAAATGAATGAATGAAAGACTAACGGGGATTGTCTCTGCCCTGGGGAATCTTGCCATCCAGAAACTAGTCCTGCCTCAAGTCACTTGAAACAACAGAAGACAGAGGGTGTTATTTAACAGAAGCAAGGGAACAAGACAGGCCTCTGGATGTGCAGGGATGGGAATGTGGATGGCTCTAGCACCTCACCGCCTCTACTGCCCCGGCCTCAAGGAGAGACCCTGGTGGAAGGAACAGGGAAGACTTCCTGAAAGAGGTGTTCTACTGGGGCCCCAGACTCAGAGTTCCTTAGCTTTCCATCTTCAAAGCCAGGGGCATTGCTCTGAAGCAACAGCAATATAAGGGCTTCAGGCGAGATACTAAGGGGGACTGCCTGGTAGTGGCAGTAGGCAAGATACCATAGAATGGTCCACCTAGAATGGAGAAGGATTTAAAAGATTTTATTTATTTATTTGACAGAGACAAAGCGAGAAAAGGAACACAAGCAGGGGGAGTGGGGGAGGGAGAAGCAGGCTTCCTGCTGAGCAGGGAGCCCGATATGGGGCTCGATCCCGGGACCCCGGGATCATGACCTGAGCCAAAGGCAGACGCTTAACGACTGAGCCACCCAGGCGCCCCTAGAATGGAGAAGGATTTAAATAAGGGGGCAAAGTGATGAGTGCCTGGGTGAGGAACTCAGACCCCACGAGGGAAGGGCTGGGCAGTGTTTTAGAGCGGGGAGGAGGTTAGGGACCTTTACCCAGTCTGACTCCCAGGGTCATCATCTGTAAAATGGGGATGTAACAGGGATTAAAGGCGAGGCATTTTGTCAGTCACCTGGTGCTGGGTCAGACACAGGCCCAAGCTGCAAACCCAACTGTGACCCCTCTGGTGGAGTCCCCGCCCCCCTTCAGGTAGCTGTAGCCTCCCCTCCTCACCCCACCCCGCAGCTCCGACAGTGCCCCGCCCCCATTGCCCGACTATTTTTAGCTCTGAGGAGGAGGAAGGCCTGGCCCAGACCAGAGCGGCAGCTGCTGCGACCTTCCTGCCCTGTGTTTCATATTCCCTGCGTCACCCTGGGCCCCACCAGGGCTCAGATCCCTGCCTGCAGGGCCCAGGAACGGGAAGGGGAAGGGGAGGCAGCGGGAGAGTTAAGACGGAGGAGGAGCCCTGGCAAGCCCTGGCTCCCCACGGGGCCTCAATTTATCCCACTGGGAACAGAGGGAAGTTCCACATGGGGCTGGTCCAGTTCTGCCCTCCTGCTTGGCTTCCGTGGCTCCCTGGCCCTGTTCCTCTGTCTCTGCTGTGCCTGCTTCGAGCCTGGATTCCTCACCCCAGCCCCAACCTCTCTCCATCTCTGGGCCTGTCTCCCAGGCAGCCCTGGATCCGGGTCTGTCTTTGGTTTCCAGCTCTCCTCCTCCTCTCTCTGTCTCTCTGAGAGTCTGTCTGTCCATCTGTCCCTCCCACAACAAGCTGGCTCTCCCTAGCTCCATTTTTCTTTGTGTTTCTCTCCCCCCTTGTTAGCTTTGCCGTCGGCCCCCACCCCCACCCTCTGCTTTCTCTGGCTGTAAACAGCAGCTGCTTGCATCTGGGGACCACCTCCCAGGGCCTTCCAGTGGCGGAGGCAGTGCCCACAGGCCACCCCACCTCCTCCAGCCCTGACCCCCACCCCTTGCTGTGGGTCCCAGCCTGTTGACCTCTCTCTGGTGGAACTGCCTGACACTTAAAACTGGAATTTTTGCAAAATATTTTTTCTCCAACGTAGGCTATGTTCATTAGAGCAAATCTTGCAAATTCAACGAAGTGTAAAGCACAAATAAATAAATGCCTCTCCTATTCCCATGTCCCCGCCATAACTACTATTAATACATTGTTAGGTTTCCTTTTCCTTTGTACTTAAATATTTTCAAACGTATCTTGTAACTTTTTCAACGACAGTGACAAGATTACTTTATGGGAGGTCACTGGATCCGATTCTGCCACTGGGCAGATGGGAAGACCAGCTATGCAAGAGGACTGGACTTGGCCAGGGTTGCCCATCAACCTGACTCCCACATCTGGGTTTGGACTCTTCATCCCAGACTCTGCTGCCTGGGTTCGCTCAGGCAGGGCCCCATGGGATTCACCAGGCAGGTGAATAATGTCACAGTGAATAATGTCAGAATGAAAAAGAGAAGCAGGGTTGCTGGGGCAGGAGAGCCTGGCCCACAGAGACAGACAGCAGGAGCCTCCCATGGCCAGAGCCTCAGCCCACAGTTGGAGGTAACACACTCACGAAGGCCAGGTTGAGTGGGATTCCTGGGGCCTGTAACCGCAGGAGCACGTTCTTGTTTGCACTGAGGACCAGAAGCACCTCTCGGGGCCGAGTGTCATTTTGCTTGGACTTCTGGATAGTCAGCTCCAGCTCTGACACCTCCTAGGGTGGGGACAGGAGAAACACACACACACAGACCAGTCAGGCCTGCACAGGCTGTGCCACCCGGATCAGTAGTAAAGACTCATTCCTCAGCAGCTTCCCCTCTTCTCTCCCTGCCCCACTGGGCTGCCCCTGCCTCCCAGGGCCCAGCACTGTGCCTGGCCAGTGGGAGATGCTCAAAAAATATTTGCTGAATGGATGAAGGCAATTGGTTTCATCAAATCCAAAGAGATTTTTAAAAATTGCAAGAAGCCTGAACTTTATTCAACAGTAGATCAAAGTTCGCCGGTTCTGTGGTGCGCCTGCTGTATACCAGGCCTGTGAGCATCTGCGTGACTTGGACAGTACCCTGTGCCCTTTCTCTGGTCCTCAGCAACGTGTCGAGGCATCAACCCCTTCCCAGTTTCCTGCATTCCTGTTTGCCTTCCTCGTTTAAAGTACTAAAATGCCCATGTTTTTGTTGATATAATACCATCATTTTGATATGACTGTGAACTTGAAATCATTACATCCTGAGAAGTACCTACCGCACGAAAAGTGTTAATTTATCATGGTGTGTGCATTTAGAACTGCTTCATAACCACCACCACAACCACATCCACAGTAATAATAAAACCTAACACTTGCGTAGTGCTCACTATGTGCCAGGACTCCTCTGAGTGCTTTACATATTGACTCATTTAATCCTCACAACAACCTTAAGAAGCAGGCACCATTATTCTCACTTAACAGATGAGAAAATGAGGCACAGAGAGGTGAAGTCATTTGCCCAGGATCACACAGCAAGTATGCATACAGCTAGGATGTGGATCAGGCAGGCCTCTGCTCTGACAATATGGCCCCCCAATATCTTTCTACACCTCCTCATTCCCAAGAAGGAAAAGGACACAGTGATCCCCAAGGCAAAGCTCTATTGAAAGAACAACCTCAGGGGCGCCTGGGTGGTGCAGTTGGTTAAGTGTTTAAGTCTTGGTTTGGGCTCAGGTCGCGATCCCAGGGCTGTGACATCAAGCCCTGTGTCGGGCTGTGTGCTCAGCATGGCCTCTGGCTTGAGAGTCTCTCTCTCCCTCTCCCTCTGACCCTCCTGCTGTGCTCTCTCTCAAATAAATAATTTTTTTTAAAGATTTTATTTATTTATTTGAGAGACAGAGAGAGGATGCTTAACCAACCAAGCCACCCAGGAGCCCAAATCAATCAATCAATCAATCAATCAAGAAAAAAAGAAAGAAAGAAAAGAAGAGAAAAGAAAAGAAAAGAAAAAAGAAAAGAAAAAGAGAAGGAGAAAGAAAGAACGAACGAACAACCTCAGCTCTGCTCAAAGACTTTCTGAACCAGCGGACAGGCAGGGATAGACCTCAGGAGCTGCCACAGACTCACAAAGACAAAGATGAATGGAAACACTCCACGGAGAGCAATGAGCTCTAGCCGCTCTCTGAAGCGGGCAGCCTCTACAACAGAGAGAAAACCTGACCCCCCAAATCTCCTCATACTTATCAAAAAGGAGAGAGGTATTTCAAGATGAAGACATCAGTGGAAAGTTTTAGATTTCACTTCCAATGATCTCCTGGACATTTCCCCAGCTGATGTCACAGAGCCAAGAGAGAGTGTTTCAGCCACTGGAAAAATCTGCCCAGAAATATTTCCGTTAGTCAATAATGACACCATAGTCACTCTTTGTTTGTAACTTTGCTCTTTAAAACAAAAGAGCGAATAATGTGATTTCATTTTCAATGTTTTACAAGTAACTTTTTTATTTTAGTGAGCTATTGACATTGCCTATCTTCGGATCACTATTTTTATGTGAATTTATAGAACGATAATATAGGTTTCAAATTTATGTTTTGTAAGTTCACATTTTTTATTAATTAGAGTTTTCTGATGGGTTTTATAACCTTTTGGTTTTCGAAACATCTTTTTAAATCAATTCTTATTTTTATTTATTTATTTTTTAATTTTTTTAAAGATTTTATTTATTCATTTGACAGACAGAGACACAGCGAGAGAGGGAACACAAGCAGGGGGAATGGAAGAGGGAGAAGCAGGCTTCCCGTGGAGCAGGGAGCCCGATGCGGGGCTCGATCCCAGGACCCCGGGATCATGACCTGAGCTGAAGGCAGATGCTTAACGACTAAGCCACCCAGGCGCCCCTTAAATCAATTTTTAATAACATTTATGCATCGTAGGGTTATCTGGCAGTTTGGCCAGAGGAGCGTGCAACTCTTGATCTCAGGGCTGTGAGTTCGAGTCCCATGCTGGGTGTAGAGGTTACTTGAATAAATAAAACTTAAAAAAAAAAAAAAAGAAATATTTATGCATTTTAAACACATTAAAAATTAAATACTGGATTTAATATATTTCGGTAAAACATGAAATACAAAGCTAAATGTCAGAACCGACGTTTTGTTCCAGGATTATGATCATTATCTGAAGTTTTCATTTAATTCATTAATTTATTTAAAAATTGAAGTATAGGGGCACCTTGGTGGCACAGTTGGTTAAGCGTCTGCCTTCTGCTCAGGTCATGATCCCAGGATCCTGGGATTGAGTCCCACATCAGGCTCCTTGCTTAGCAGGGAACCTGCTTCTCCCTCTGCCTGCCACTTCCCCTGTTTGTGTGCTCTCTCTCTCTGATAAATAAATAAAAATCTTTAATAACTAAATAAATAAATAAATAAAAATTGAAGTATAATTGGCAGACTACCTGAAATTAACCTGAGCAGAGGGAGACCCATGTCGGTGGTGTTGGGAAAGGCCTGGTACAGCCGACCTGCCAGAATCCTGGAGAATGAGAATCTTTGAGAATCTCTGAGAATGGACCTGCCCCCACCTTCTTACCCCGATTGCGTATGTACTGTTAGCTTGAACAATCGAATAGGATTGCACAACCCTGTGTATCTACTAAAAACCATTCAATTGTACACTCTAAATGGGCCAACGTTATCTGGATGAAGCTGTCAAAAAACAACAGGATATCAGTAATTTCACATGGTTCAACCTGTGAACCATGTGCCTGGCCCTGGACTGAGCGTGTTACATGGGTTTTCACTGAAGCAGAGTCAGGTATCCTCCCAGTTTACAGATGCAGCAATTGAGGCTTAGGGAGGGAAACTACCCAGGGATCTGCTGGGGGCGAAGTCGGGGACCAGAGTGGAGCCCATAGCCCCCAGACCTCTCCTGGACCATGTCTCCCTCTCAACCCTGTTCTTCTGGACTTCCCTACAGTTCATCACTGTCCAGCCCCATCTAGCTGTCCTCACCCAGGGGAGTGACTTCTGGGGCCCCACACACAGTGAAGAGATGGGCGCTGGGGTTTGGAGACGCCGCTGATGGGCTGCAGTGGTTGAGGTCCATCCTCTGCCCCTTCGTGGGCATCCATAGGCCGAGAGCAGCGGGGAGCACGGGCTCGGAGCTGACAGGAAAGAGCCCTGTGAACCTCCATTCTTGCTGCTGCTCGGCAACTGTCCCTATTCCTCTGTACCTCAGTCTCCCAACTTGGTAGGACAGGGTGGGGCTCTAGATAAAGGAAGTTAGAAAAGAGAAGTGGAGGTCAGTGTCGGGTCATGCCGAGTGAGGGCATGAGGAGACTGGAACTTTGTGGGGACATTTATCACGACATTCAGCTCCTCACCCATCACTCAGTCCTCACCGCGTCCCTCCTGGTAGAGTTGGGGGCAGAAAGGGGGTGGGGGCTGAGGCCCAGGGAGGGGCAGCCATGGGGTGGGGATACACAGCAAGTGAGCAGTGTGCAAGCTCGGGGAGGCAGGAAAGCTGGGCCCCCCAGGGGTCTCTGAGCTCCTGGACCTAGCTGAGGCTGGCTGGTTACCAGAAAACCCCAGCTGGGTTTCCATAGCAAACATTTCCATCCCATGGCCCTGACTCATCATCACAGTCACTCATACGCACATTGACTTCCCTCTTCCCTCCTGCCCCCCCCACCCCGGCCCGGAGCCCAGAGGCAAAGCAAGGGGTCTGCCTTGCCCCCCACCTCTAAGTTCCCAGTCTTCCGAATGGCATCCTGTGAATTCTGGGAGCCCAGCCGAGGCAGGCTGGCTGGCCGGCCCCTCACTCCCAGCTCCGACCTAGGCCAATTCAGGCCTACCCCCGCCCCTTCCCTGAGTGGGTGGGCGGGAGACCGAGTTTCTATTTTTGTGCCAGTGTCCCACAGATGCCATTGTTGGCCCAGCGGTTGGTGGCGGGAAGGGGGGATTTCGGTGAGGAGGCCCTGAACACTAGTAGCCACTTATAGAAAGTTGCTTCCAGCAATTCTTCTAGGAGTGGAGCCTTGGGGCTGCCTGCAGCCCCCACCCTCCTAGGGCCAGACTGGAGCCGGCCAGATTGGAGCCAGCCGTCCCTCTGTCCACCCCAGCAGACTCAGATGATACATACAGGCCGGATGGCAGGGGCAAGGGGTCAAAGCCAGACTGACCTGAATTCAAATGTGGGCTCAGTCATTAACTTGTGACCCTGGGCAGTCACTATTCCTCTCTGGGCCTCAGTTTCCTGGTCTGGAAAATCGGCTGAGCAATATGCCCACTTCATAGACTTGTGAGGATTCAGTGAGATGCTGCCTGCAAGGTGGGGCGTCCAGTGCCCAGCTAAATATACAGCAGTAGATTTGGCTCTCATGACCTGTGACTCCCTCCTTGTCCACTCACCCAGAGGAGTGCCGGGGTCTGTGGGCTGGCGAGGTTGGCGTTAAAGGTGGGCAGCAGTTAGCAAGAACTGGAACATGTTGAAGCTACACCTCACTGTGGCATCCCCTCTCTGGGCCTCGGTCTCCCCATCTGGGTACTGAGGAGTTGGGCTCAGCGATGTTCTAGTATCGTGTGGCCCCTGGATTTTATCCTGCCTCCTGGGGCCCCCATGTTTGGCATCCCAGAGTCATGGTCTCTAGCCAAGTGGACACCGAGTGGGCTTCCAGAACCTCCCAGAAGAGACATGCTGCTTTCCCCAGCTGAGGGCCCCTGGTCAGCCCGTGTTCTTCCCCCTCCCCTGTTCATTTGTGATTATGAGAGGCCAGTGCTGGGGGCCCAGCCTGGGGTTTCTGTGCTCTTGTAGGGGCACAGGAAGTAGGCACAACTCTATCCTCCAGGAGTTTGGCAGAGAACTAACACCCCTCAACAACCAGAGATGGACAGCGAGTGCCACCACTAACCCCGTGGGGGGAGTCCCTCAACAAATGCTCATGCGCATGTATATTTCTCCTCCCTCCCTCCCTCCCTCCCTTTCTTCCTTCCTTCCTTCCTTCCTTCCATTAACCATCCATCCACCCAACCACCCGATCGTGACTTCCAGACTGACCCTGAGCTGGACGTGGGGGACACAGCAGTGAGACAGCAGACATCAGCCCTGCCCAGCCTGTTGGGCCCCCGATCCATGCCTTTCCACCAAACCTGCCCCTCATATCAGCAAGGCCTGGGATAAGAATACAGATGGCAGCCCCCAGCTCCCAGCCCACCCTCCTTTCTTTTCACCTCCTTCTCTTCATGAGTACAAATGTGGGCAACCCAGCCCAAATGCCCACGCTCTGCCATGCCCGCCCCCTACACGTAGTCGCCTTGCCCAGCCTTTAGGTCTGGAGGACCTTCCTCCAGCCGTGCTATGCCCCCTCTAGAGTATGGGATGAGAAAGAGCCCCACGCAGCCCGGGGAGGAGGCTCAGCATATATGCGCAGGGAATTCTGGAGTCCAGGGACCCAGAGCATGGACTCGGGCGACAGGTACAGGCTCCGGGTGGGCATGTCCCTCTGGCCCTGCAGATACCCAACCCCGGGGGGCTGGGGGCGGGGGAGGTGAGAAGTACAACTGGAAGAGGGCCAGAGAAGGGCCATTAATTGTGGGGCCTGAACAGGGGTCCCCATTGCCCAGGTCTGAGAGCGACACTGCCCTCCAGAGCCCTTCACAGCCTCCTAGGACAGTCTGGGGGAGCCCCGGGCCCCTCCCACTCTTCCTCTCTGCCTGAGCCGCCTTGCCTGCCCCTCTGGTCAGCAATGAGTCAGTGTAAGAGCCCAGCAGCTTCCATCTGCTTGGAGATGGGTGGGGTGTCCTCAGCTCCCCGGGTTTGCCCAGAAGTAGGGTGAATCAGCGGTTGCCCCAGCTCTGGCCCGGCTGCCTGGAGCTTGTAAGGAAGACAGCAGACCCGTGCAGTCAGTCTGACGGGAATTGCTGAGACACCAGGCCGGTTTCCTGTCTCCGCGGGTCAGGATGTGACCCCGGGCCCCCTCCCGGAATCCAGGCTCCGGCCTGCCCTTTGGGGACCCAGCGAGATAGAGCCCCTGCCCAATGGCCCCCTCATCTGTCTGCTACGGACCTCTCTTCCCTGAGCCTCTTGGCTGCCACAGCTCATCTGCCGCCCACCCACAGGAAATCTGAGGATGTGGAGGCTACGCAGGGGTGGACGGGAAAGCCGTTTCTGCGGGCCAGTGTTGGAAGACGGCGGCCACCGGTCGGGAGGGCTTGGGCTGGTTGCTGAGACAGCTGCCACACACGCGCCCGCCGCCAGCTCATGTTTCTGGCCCCAGGGCTTTGCTTGTGTGGTGCCCTCTGCCTGGGATGCCCTTCACCACCCTCTCTGTCTGGCTGGACACCGAGAGCCTTTCACTAATGCCCCTTTCCCTCCCCAGCCCCGTGTGCCCCCCATTGCTAATCCCATCACCCTGTCAATGCCCACCTCTGCCTCCCCTGGCTTGGGAGTGGCTCAAGGGCAGAGGTCGGGTCTGTTTTCTCTTTGCACCATCAATACCCAACACAGGCTGGGCACCGAGCAGGCACCCGGCCAGGACTGTTTGGTGGGGGGGACTGTCAGGCTATGGACCCGATTCCTGGGGGGGCCTACCTGGAGAGGAAGGTGCCTTCCATGTCACAGCACAGGGTCTGGGGGTGGTGGGATCATGGGCCCCTGGGGCAGGGAGGCCAGGAGCTCCTGGTGGGGAGGCCCAGCTCCGTCGGGCTGGACCTCAGTGGCCCCCTCTGAAAAGAGATTCATGGCCCCTGCCTCAGCTACCTCGTAGCAATAACTTTTGGGGATCAAATTAGTGGACCGATGTGAAGATGTTCTGGAAACTATAGCATGCTTGTTAAGAGTGGGGTATTTATAGGTGAGACCCGGAGGCCAAAGATAATAACATATAATAACAAGAAGATATTGTTGTTATATAACGTGTGTGTGTGTGTGTGTGTGTGTGTGTGTGTGTGTGTGTGTATAGAAAGATAATAACATACGAATAACAACAAGCAGAGCTACTGTAGGATGAGCAGTCACTCTGGGCAGCCCCGCACTCAATATTGGCCTGCTCTACTGCACCGGATCCTCGCAAACCCCCTGTGAGGGAGGTACTATTATCGTCCCCATATTTCCTGTGGAAAACCAAGGCCTAGAGAAGCGGCCCAAGGTCCTGCTGCTGTAAGGTGGGAAGGCAGACTTCAGTCTGCAGACGGTCCAGCTCCAGAGCCCGTGTTCGCACCTGCTGGGTTGAGGCCACCTAGCAGCGTGTTCTTGCACTCACGCCTTCAGCAAACGGTTATTTGCTATCTGCCGGGCCCTGGGCCAGATTCTAACACTGTGATTCTTCACTGAGTCCCTGAGCTCAAGAATTGTGTGGGTGTGGAAGAGTGAGGGGAAGGAGCCCCCTCCACGTGCCAGGTACCATATGAGGTGCTGGTCAGTGACGTATCCAAGGCTGAAGCCCCAGTCTCCTGAACCCCAGCTCTCTCTACCACCCCCTCAAACAGATATGCCTGACAGGCCTGGGGCTCGCAGCCTGGCTTCTTGGATTAAAAGCCAGATGCTCCACGGGCTGAGTCCTCCGGAAGAGACAGAGAGCGACAGGAGGGTCTGTTGTCATGAGCTCTAGGAGGACATGAGTTACACTGGCATCCCACCATGGCCCTAAAAACCCTCCAATGACTCTCACTGTCCACAGCAGAAAGACCAAGCTCCTTAAAATAGTGGCAGGGCCTTTGCATCTCCCCAGCCCTGCCCCAAAGTGAACTATAAGCTCCCGCCACGGTGAACCACATCTTGACCCTAACCACAGTCCACTCACCTGCCTGTGGTTCCCTCTGTCCTCAGCTCTTCTCTACCACCTCCTTCACTCCTGGACATCTTACTGTTGTTCCTTCCTCCTGGAAGCCCTGTCTAATCCCACAGCAGCTGCCATACCCCTGTCCTGTGCTCCCCAAGAGAACACCCATCACCTAGATCCTGGCTGGCTGTCTACACATCTGTTTCCCACAGACCTGGGCACTTGGCAGGGGGCTTCTCTCGGACTCCGGCCCATTGTTGAGTGATTGGGGGGGGGGCGGATCCCAGTCACCCAGTGACGGGTCATCAGAACAAACAAAATGAGCTTATAGAGGGCAATCTTATGTTCCGTATCATTACCAAACTGGAAAAAAATTACAATGGCTTTGGAAACCATATAACGTGTGTCTGGCACTATCTCACTTTGGGGATTATCGAGGCCCACAGTCTTGGTGGCAGGCAGGGCGGTGGGGAGCAGGCCCCCCTCGATATTGGTGGTCTGGGCACCGTCTTATCACCACACAAACGCAGGGCAACTCAACAGTTTCAGGAGCAGCCTGGCCACAAGTTTACTGAGCTGACACCACTAAATCGCTATCAGGACCTGAGGCCACACCAGCCAGGTGTGGCCACCAGCCCAGGCAGGCCAAATGCTGCCAGGACACAGACCTGCTGGGGAGCCAGGTGACAGCCTAGTTTGGAGTCTCTCAGAATCTAGTGCGAACTCTGGCCTTGGGCGTGTGGCTTCACCTCTCTAGGCCTGCCTCAGTTTCCTCCTCCGAAAAGTGGGAGCAATAACAGACTCTGACAGATAGGCCCTTGGGAGGCTTCAGACATGGAAGATGTTGAACCCCATTCCTGGCTCTTAGTAGGCCTCTAACAGTACCTAGCACAGAGTGAGCCTCGCACAGAATCTAGCACACGGTGAGCCTGGCGCAGAACCTAGCGCATAGCAAGCACTCCACAAGTGTGTTATTATCATTAGAAGGGACTTCGGCTAATGCTGGACCTCAGTAGGGACAGTGGTCTCCAAGGTGGCATCACTGGCTTCAGTCTCTGTGGGCTGCCTGGCCAGGTCACCGATGTTCAGTGGGGGACATTGTAGGGAGGGAGATTTGAGCTCAACTGAGGGAAGCACTTGCTCAAAACCCAAGCTGCCTGGAGCAGAGCTCAGTCTGCCGAGAAGCACCAAGCTCCCCATCACTGCAGGTGCACAGGTGACAGCTCACCTGGTCCCTTCCACCGCTCACCTGGCTCTTCTCCACTCAGTCACTGGCCGCACTGAGCCCTTCCCACCTGGGACTTGTGGCTTCCAGAAGACCTCCGTGATGCTGGCCCCAGAAATGCCATCCCTTACTGGCCCTGTGAAATGCCCACGTATCCCTCCTGGCGGGGACCCTGGTGAGGACACGGCCTGCTGCTCCAGGGACAGCCACAAGGAAGGCTCCCCTCATCCCATTGGCCCTGGGCCTTTCTCTGGGACCCCAACCCCAACCCTGCCACCAAGCACTCACCCTTGAGGATTCCAGGAAGAGAATGTGAACTTCAAGGGTGGCATTGGGGACCTGAGCCACGCAGCCCTTAGAAACTTGACTCGTAATATATGTCACCTCGGCGTCCACAGGCTGTAGGTCACAATGGACTGTTTCTGCAAGACCTGTTGGGGAAGCACATCCAGAGAGAGCACCAGGTGAGAATACGGTGGTGACAGTCATTCCCAAGTTCCGAATGCCTAGCGCTTGGCACTGGCTTAGGGCTTTCTGCATCCCCGCAGCTGCCCTACAAGGTGGATATCATTATAACCATTCCACAGATGGAGAAACTAAGACTCAGGAAGGAAAAGTCTCTTGCCTGAGGTCACAGTGTGACTAGGGGTAGGGCTGACAGATAAAATGCAGGATACCCGGTTAAATTTGAATAAATAAAAAAGATTAATTTTTAAAAGTATAAGTGTATCCCAACTATTGCATGGGACATACTTACACTGAATTTTTTTTCACTGTTTATCTGACACTCAAATTTAACTGGGCATCGTATATTTTTATTTGCTACATCCTGCAACCCTAGCTGTGGGGCTGAGCTCACAGGTGCACACACCCAAGCCTCCTGGCTGGTTCACTCCAAAGGGAGACAAGAGCTAAGATCGGGAGAGGAAAACTTCCCCAAACTTCCCCTCCTGCGCCTCGAGGAGGCTGGGAGGAATGGGGCCAAGGAGGGTTGAGTCTCCTGGCCCCAAGGGAGGGAGCGAGCCAGAAGGGCGGCCCGGGTTCAGAGGGCGGCTGTGGGAGGAGGCCTGGGCCAGGGAGCCTGCTCCTGGGCTGCTCGGAAACACAGGTCCTGAGGGAAGGCAATGGAATTTCACCCTGACCCAGCAGAGGAGGAAGAGGAAATGAGGCCCCTACACCTCGTCCTAAGGAATGTGCCGAGGAAGGGGGGGCTCCGGAGGAGGGAAGGAGGACAGAGAAGGGGAGACTGTTTGGAAGTTTGTGTCTCCATCTTGTCGCGCTCACTTCCTGTTTTCTTGGAGATCAAAGATGGGCGCGGAGGGGCTGGCCGCACGTCCAGCCGTCGCCAGCTCAGAGAAGGGGGGTAGGGAGGCTTCTTCCGAATCCCAGGCTATCGGGCAGTCTTTTTCCTAAGCCAGCGTTGCTGGGCTCAGGACCCCCAGAGGTCAGAGGAGGACTTAAGATGGCCGTGCCTAGCTGCGGCCACGCCACCCGCCCCAGCACCTTGGGAGGGATAATTTCAGGACTAGGACGTCTGGCGACTATGGGGGCCCAGACCCTGTAAATCCTTGCCCTGGCCCTTTCCTGTGTGCAAGGGTCACGGTGCAAGTGTCCTATGGCATTTTGATTCAAGGCAAGGTCCCTGGAGCCAGGCCAACCTGTGTTTGAATCTCAGGCCCGCACTTACTGGCTATGTGACTTTGGTGAACGATTTCACCACTTTGGGCTTCAGTTTCCTCATCTGTGAAAGGACAGTTAGAACCCACAGAGGTTGTTGGGAGGACTCCATGAGAACAGGGCAAACAGCTTCCATCATGCTTACTGAGAGCCAGGTACTGGCAGTTCTTTGGGTTACCATTATTCGATTGACTTCAGTCACTGGAGAAGAATGGACCTCTTAGGGGGTAGGGGTGAAGTGGTGGGATGGGGCAGTCGGCAGGTCAGTGGTGTCCCAGGCCAGCAGCCCCCCTCATCCCAGCAGACACAAGGGCTGACACACACTCCTGCTGTCCTAGGCCCTGGTGACCCAATAAGCCCCTCAGTGTTCCCCACCCCCCCTCGCTTTCCCTATCAGCGAACACAGATTTCTTGGCTGCTACCACCTGGTCTAAACCCTTCCTATACAGATGGGGAGACTGAGGCCTGGAGAGGCGGGATGTGCCAGAGTCACACAGCACGTGGCTGACCAGGCTGGGCCTCAGACCCACCTCTCTCTGCATGACCCGGGGTCTGGCCTGCAGATTAGCGCAGTGACTTCCTCCTTGCCTTCGGACTTTCCCTGCCCCCTCCCCAGACTTCCAGGAACCCCAGTTCCTCCTGGATTGCCTGGGCCGCCCGGGGCCACCTCCTCCATGCCGTCAGCGGGAGAGGCCACGGGCCTGGCCATTATGTAATGATCAGATAACAGGCCAGGCTGGGAGATCAGATAAGAGGTCCATTTATTTTGGGGCCTTTTCGAATCCTGGCTGCCCCCACCCCGCAGACGAGAATGGGGAGACAGGAGGGAGTATGACGCCCGGGCCTGTCTCCCGGAGCCGGAGGCGGGCCCAGACAGAGCTGAAAACAATCCCCTGGCACCAAGGGAAACGCCAGGGCCTCCCGGGACCCGGGTTGGAGGAGGCGCCGCTAGGGGCCTGGGTGACCCGGCCCAAGTGAGAGACCCAGGAGCCACCCCCCCATCTCTGTCCCCTTCCTCCTCCGCCCCCACCCAGGAGCATAGAGCCACCTCGGAGCTTTCCGCCTGGCCACCCCAGCACCTTGAAAGGTCACAGAGAATAACGGTCAAGGAGAGCAACTCCAGAACCAGACGGCCCGGGTCAAATCCCAGCTCTACCCCTCAAAACAATGGTCACCTTGAGCAAAAGCCAACTTCTCTGAGTCTCAGTTTCCCCATTTGCAAAACAGCTTCCATCATGCTTACTGAGAGCCAGGTACTGTTGCGAGGCTTGACATGAGTTCATTCATTTGATTCCTGCAGCAGCCCTACAGGTGGGTACTCTTATTGGAACCATGTGATGCCTGGAGGTGGGTACTCTTATTGGAACCATGTGATGCCTGGAGAGACAAGACCCCCCAGGTACAAGAATTTGCCCGAGGTTGCCCAGCTATTACGTGTCAGGGTCTGTATTTGCAGCTGGGCGTCCGCCTGGTACCCAGTAAGCGTTCTGAACAGTGGCTGTGATTATTTCCTAATACAAGGGCAGAGCCTTTCCCACAGGCTTTCTCTGTTTTTTCTCTTCTTCAAGCACCCAGGTATCCATCCATCCTTTGCTCCTTTCAGGGTCCCATTATAGCCTCCCAGATGTCCCAGCATCCAGCTCAGCCACCCCCAGCGAGGCCTCAAGGCTCCCTTCTCCAGTCTTCCCCGTGGCTCCTCAGTGCCCGCAGGGTCAAGTCCACATTCCACCACCTAACATGGAATTAAAAAGTGCAGGGATCTGGGGCACCTAGGTAGCTCAGTCGGTTAAGCGTCTGCCTTTGGCTCAGGTCATGACCCCAGGGTCCTGGGATCGAGCCCCGCATCGGGGCTCCCCACTCAGTGAGGGGTCTGCTTCTCCCTCTCCCTCTGCCGCTCCCTCTGCTTGTCCTCTCTCTCTCAAATAAATAAAATCTTAAAAAAAAAAAAGTGCAGGGGCGCCTGGGTGGCTCAGTCGTTAAGTGTCTGCCTTCAGCTCAGGTCATGATCCTAGGGTCCTGGGATGGAGCCTAGCATCGGGCTCCTTGCTCAGCGGGGAGCCTGTTTCTCCCTCTCCCTCTGCCACTCGCCCTGCTTGTGCTCTCTCTCTCAAATAAATGAATAAAATCTTAACAAAAGTGCAATGATCTGATGGATGCCAAGGTTCAGCTCCTGATTCTGCCACCTTCCAGCTTCCTTTCTGTGCCTCAGTGTTATTATCTGTACAATGGGGATGATGGCAATCACAACAGCTTACTCATCGAGTTGCCGCAAATGTTGGTCGGATGACACCTGCACAGCGCTCAGCAGGCTTGTGATGCATGAAGAGGCTCAGGACTGGCAACTGCTCTCATGAGAACTTATGCCCACCGGGGAGAGGTGAGCTCTTCCTCCAAACACACCTCATTCCCTGCGGCTGCCCAGCTGGCTCCCAGACCAATGGTCTTCCTTTACTTGACCTCTTGGTCAACTTCTGTTCAACCTTCAAAACCCTGTTGTGAATGTCGTCTTGTCAGGACTGATCTGGTGGCACTCTAGCTGTGAGGGCCAGTGTCAGGGCAAGAAGGGGATCAAACCTCATCTTCCCCGAGGCAGTATGATGCGATGGTTCGACCCAGGGCGCAAGCCCCAGCTGCTCCTTCCTGGGCTGTTACTTGGGCAAATTTCTTCACCTGCCTGTGCCCCAGCCTCCTCAGCTGTGCCATGGGGGAGACAGGAGTGTCTGCTTCACTGGGCTTTTGTGAAGGTTAAGTCTGAGGGTGCACATCAGGCCTAGAGTGGTGTGTGGCAGAGAGTGTGTGCTGAATCAATGTCAGCTGTGACATTTGCCTCTTCACCTCCATCCCTACCCCATGTATGAAGTCAGCTCAGCCCTGGAGGATGGTCCTCTTCAGCCTGCAGGGCTGATGTCCCAAAGCCGGGGCTGGAGCTGGGTCTTAGTGTCACTCTCCGTCTGGCTGAGATGAGAGAGAATCTCAACGGTCATGTCCCCACCATCCCCAGGGGCTCATCTCTCCTGGCTCACACAGCTCCTCTTTTACCTCCTGGCAAATGGGAAGCTGCCCTGAAGTGCGGGCTCTAAGAGATGGGCATTTGTGGTCTCTGTCCAGTGTCACTTGTCCCCTCTCTGGAGAGGCCCAGATCCCCACACAGGTGGTAGGCCGAGATCCCCAGCACAGGGCTCCAAGTCCCGCCTCTGTCCCTCCAGCAAAGGCTTGTCCACACTCCGCAAACACGCTTTGATCCCAGCCACCCAACATGAGGCTCAAATCCCAGCACCCCCACTTCTGGGACTCTATCCAAGTGAAATACTCCAAAATACAGGAAGAGGTGCATGTACCAAAAACGTGCACGGTGGTGGTATTTATAACTAGCCTCAATGGGGAAACCACCTAGATATTCAACAATAAGGGATTTGTTAGACAAACGACGGGATGGCACATCTAAGGGACAGAATATTCCAGAACCACAAGGGGACAGTTATGGAGTCTACATGACAACATAGAAACTTTCTGGGTCATGAGAAGGGTCCCCCAAGACTCCCAAATGTTGATCCATCTGCATTAAAATTACCTTAAAGAGCTAGACAAAAACTGGTACGCAACCCACCTAACAATGCCTATGTTAATGACGGAACTTGGGAAGTGATCTTTTTTTCTCCTTATCTGTTTTCTTTGAGTAGACTTAAATGACTATATAATTAAATTGGTCTTTAAAAATCTACATGTTTGCTCTTTAAAAAAATATCCCAACGTGGCAAAAAAGTGTCTTTAGAGACAATTCCCTAGAGAAAGCTTGTGCTGGAGAACAGAGACCTCGGGATTGTCCCCACGTGTACCATGCACTGTTCCCTTTTTTTTTTTTTTTAAAGATTTTATTTATTTGACACAGAGAGAGAGAGAGAGCGAGCACAAGCAGAGGGAGTGGCAGGCAGAGGGAGAGGGAGAAGCAGGCTCTCCACTGAGCAGGGAGCCCGACGCGGGGCTTGATCCCAGGACCCTGGGATCATGACCTGAGCTGAAGGCAGACGCTTAACCGACTGAGCCACCCGGCACCCCTGTTCCTATTTTATTCTGACAGTAATGGAGTCACTGCTTTGGGAGCACCTAATGTCTGGGTCCCAGACATCCATCCACAGTAGTACAGATCCAAATTCAGCTTTTTCTCGGTTTCGACTGGTATTTCATCGAATACTAATTCTTTTGCTAGGGCCCAGGCTGATGGACATTTGGGTGGTTTCCAGTTGGGTTTTTGTTACAGGCACCTATGGACTATATGGATCTTGACAGACTTGGGCAAGTAACTCCAAAAGGCTGAAGGTTGAGCCGGTACACATGTTAGGGTATTAAGAGATTCTGCCAAGCTGTGTTCCCAGAAGGCTGGACTATTCTTGGACCTGTTTTGGACCCATTTTTACCCTCTCCGGCCTGACTGAGGATGCCTGGGTCACTCCCATCCCCCACCCCAGTGTGGAGATCTGGGTTCCACACCCTGACCCGGGCCTCTGTCTGCCCTCCATGAGCCTCAGTTTCCCAGACTGTCAAAGAGTTGGGCTGGATGGTTTGGAATGTCCTTGAACCCTATGATCACTGGGATACTGGTACCTACTCCCAGGAGCAGATTGATAAATTATCAGTTTTTCCAACTGGCTATTAAACATAGCCATTATTAAAAATTAAATTCTGGGGGGCACCTGGGTGGCTCAGTAGGTTAAGGTTCTGCCTTCGGTTCAGGTCATGATCCTAGAGTCCTGGGATAGAGACCCATATTAGGCTCCCTGCTCAGTGGAGAGTCTGCTTCTTCCTCTCCCTCTGCCCCTTCCCCTGCTAGTTCTCTCTCTCTCTCTCTCAAATAACATCTTTTTAAAAAATTGAATTTGGGGGCACCTGGCTGGCTCAGTCAGTGGAGCATGTGACTCTTGACCTCAGGGTTGTAGGTTAAGCCCCACATTGGGGGTACAGATTAATTAAAAAAAATAAAATCTTGGGGCACCTGGGTGGCTCAGTTGGTCGAGCATATGCCTTCGGCTCAGGTCATGATCCCAGGGTCCTGGGATTGAGCCCCGCATCGGGCTCTCTGCTCGGCAAGGAGTCTGGTTCTCCTTCTCCCTCTGCCTGCCGCTCTGCCTACTTCTGCTCTCTCTCTGTGTCAAATAAATAAATAAAATATTAAAAAATAAATAAATAAAATCTTAAAAAAATTAAATTGTATAAGTTTAAAAATAAATTGTATTTTAAAAACGGTAATAAATATCAAAACTAATTACTTCCTAATTATTTTACTCCATTTTACTATATTCTATGCTCTTGAGGTCAGATGTCTGTTGCATCTGTGTGGTAGAAATATCGGGCAAAGGTCCTGGGGACACTGCATCCCAACTGCAAGCTTGGTTAGCTGGTAGCTTGAAATCAGCCATGTGGGAACGTTTACACCCTGGACATTAACAAATACTATCCCCAACGCCCTCCACCCCTGTTGTTCATTATTTGCCAGCACACCACTGCCTTCCATCCTATAAAACCAGACCCTAAAGATCTACAGGGATCTTCCTCTGATGATGACAAAGATGGCAGTGTTATCAAGCTAGAAATGTGGGAGAGGTGGGAGAAAGGCAGGGCAGCCTGGAGGCCTATTGTGGAGCTCAGGTGGGCTTCTGTCTGAGCTGTGTGAACTTGGCAGATCACAGCCTCCACTTACTATCCTGTAAAATGGGGCGATACAGGCAGCCATCTTACGGGGTTGCCAGAAGTTATATGGGGGCGGGGAGGTGCACATTACACGTGGTTAGGAGCCACAAGTCTAGGGTCAAATCTGTGCTAGGTCACTTAGTGTCTGCGACAGTTTCCTGTGATCAGTGAGGCAGTCGTAGAGGTTTAGAGACCAAGGACTAGGGGCTTTAAAATGCCACAAGGTGGGATCAGGTAGGGAGGTGGCCACCGTTGTGCTCTTCCCCTATGTTCTCCCCCCACTCCCAACACCAGATTCTTTAGAGAGTTTCTGGACGTGCCATGGGTGAAGGGGTGCCCATAGGGCTGTCCTGCGGCTTTAGGTGGGTGAGGGGCAGACACAGCAAGGCCCACATGAGTGGGATGAAGATCTGGGAGTCCCCAGCTCCTCATGGCCTCTCATCTGGTCAGTTTCGGAAGGCTGCAGAGCCATGACTGCCTGGAAGAACCCCCAGGCTGAGCCGCCCCCACAGAACCCTTAGTCTGGGCCTGTGTCCCCACCCTGCCGCATCTTGAAGAAGAGAGGGTAAGTCAAGGCAGAGAGCGAGAGCTAAGTTCAAGAGTGTTCTGGGTGCCACTCACAGGCCCCGGGGAAGTGAGAGGCAGGAATTTAAAGCTAATCATAAAGCCACAATAACAACACAGAATCCTCCAGCCTGCTCCGGAGCTCTACAAGCACGGCCTCACGGCCACCCCCCACAACAGCCCCCTAAGAGTTCCATTCCCATCCCCGCTTTGCTCAGCGGCCCAAAGGCAGTCCCCCAATATCACACCGCGAGGAAGTAACCATGTGAGATTTGAACCAAGAGCCCTAGTGCTGACTGTGAATCCACACGCCCTCCTTCCCACAGGTTCCTCAGATGGGAACCTTAAGGCCCAGAGAGGGCAGGAGACCCTCCCAGGGCTGCACAGCACTCTGGGACCTGGGCTTCTTCCTAGGGGAGAAACTGGACATAGCTGGGAGGGCAGAGGCCGGGGTTAAGGCAAATAACTCATGCCCATTTGCTTGAGACGTTTAGGGCTGAAAGTTCTTTGTCTTGCCAAACCGGGGTGGTTGGTCACCCTACGGTGTCCACCTTGGGCTGGCCAAACCCCCCTGGACAGCCCCACTGGGCATGAGGTCAGGACCAGGGTGGAGGCCAGGAACACTTGGGGCCGAGTCTCCCCACCTGGGGTCCCTGGACACCTACTTGTGGGCCTGAGGCTGCAGACGGCCAGCAGTAGGGCAACGACCAGGGGAAGCGTGCGGCGGTCCATGCTGTCCACCAGGGGGTCTGTGCGCTGGGCCTTATCCGGTGTCCAGGGGCAGGGCTGCGGGCGGGCGTGGGGGCCGGCGTGGGCGCGAGCGGGGACCCAAGGGGAACAGGCAGCCGGAGCGACGGCGTCCCTGCTCCAGCCTTCTGAGGTGGCGGCCGAGGGGTCAGGAGAAGTGGGCACGGGGGCGCAGGGCCGGGCCGGGGATCGCTGGCCGAAGGGTGAGCGGGGAGGGGGTGCTGGGCTCCTGCGGACGGCAGCTGCGGCAGCAGTCCGGGCCTGGGGATGCGGATGGAAGCTGGGGTATGACCGGCAGCGGTGGGGAGCTCCCGGCTCATCCAGCCTGGCCCGGGGAGGCAGGAAATGCGCTTCCTTAGAGAAGGGGCCGGGCCAGGCGGCCTGCCAGGCGGGGAGAGGAAGTGCCACGGGCTTTGTCGCTGGGTGGGGGGCCCCGTGTGTGGGGGGGGAGGCAGTGGGGTGGGAGGGCCCAGGCTCCAGGCTGGTCTCCTCACACACCCCACCCTCTCCAGGGCCGGCTGGTGGGGCGCATCTGGCAGCCCCCAGGGGGCAGATGGAAACAATCGCCCTAGCAGCCCACCAAGGAGACCTTTCAGAGGCCAAGCCCTGACCAAGGAGGCTCAGGTGGAGCTCATAGCCCCTTGAACTCAGTTGTTCCCATTTTGCAGATGAGAAAACAGAGGCCTGATGGGGTGAGATAATTGGCCCCAAAAGATGGTGGAGCTGGGATTTGAACAGGTGTCATCAAGCACCAAAAGTGGCTTACATAAGCCTGATACTGGCTCGTCATTCCTTGCTTTGCAGGCAGGGAAACTGAGGCCCCGGATAGGGAAGGAACACTCCCAAATGGCAGCTGGGGTTGAGGTCTCAGGGCCCAGGGAGGACAGGGGAACGTTGGGTCTGCCCCCTCCATGGGTGGAAAATCCTCCAGGGACATAGGACAGCCCCAAATGAAAGAGGGACACTCTTTAACAGCGTTTCTGAAGTCAGACGGCCCTGGGTTCAAAGCCCTGCTCTCCTTGCTCTGAGCTACGAGACCTCGAGCAAGGTTCCACAACCTTCGGGCACCCTGTTTGTAAATTGGGCACAATGGTGCTTTCTTGGCCAGGCTGCTGTGAGATTTGGGGAGGTCCGAGCACTATGGCGCTGAGCTTGGGCCCGGCCCAGGAAGCACTCCCCCCATCAATGCTTCCTCAGCCTGGGAGAAAATGCCAGAATTGCCCCTTGTTCATTCTGCAAACAGTAAGCGCCAACTGTGTGCACACCATGGTGTTGGTCCCGGGTAGCACCTAGGGTCAGGCCAAGGGAGCTCAGAGGAAGCAGCCTGAGCTGCCTGGCCTCTGAAGGACTGGGTGAGTCGGGGGAGAGGCGTGGAAGAAGGGGATGAAGAAGGTGCATCGGCAGGGGACCAGCCCCAGCAAAGGCGCAGAGGCAGGAAGTGGTTGGACCACTGTGGGACATGCAGGGGGTGTGGTGGGGACAGGAAGCCTGGAGAGGCAGACTCTGGCCCAGCTCTGGGGGGGGCGGGGGGGTGCGTTGAATGAAGGCCAGGGGGTATCATGGAGGGTTCTGGGGCAGAAGGTGCTGGCTTTGAGAAGACAAGTCGTGCTACACGCTGGCAGGACCCACAGACGGGATGGAGCCCGGAGGCCCTTCTCTTTATCCTTGTCCTGGGTCACAGATGGAGAAATGGCGTGCCATTTCTCCCCCGCCCAGGGAGGGAGGAGGAGGCCGGAGCCCTGGGTGCCTCTGGAGGGAGCAGAGCAGGAGTGTGTTTGTCTCTGCACGAGCTGAGAGGGGGTGGGAAGGGCGGGCGTGGCTCCTTGGGTGGGGATTGGGGGAAGGTTCACTGCCCAGCCCTGGAGCTGCCTGGCCAGGCATGGGTGTGGGTCACGGGAGCCCCCTCCATGTCCTGCAAGTGGGAAGGCCGTGATGGGGAGGATGGGGCCATCCCATGAGCAGCAGCTTCTCTTCCTGTTCCTGGGGGCGCAGAGATGGGGAGGTGGGCACGCCCAGGCAGAGGGCGGGGATGTTGGAAGGGGCTGTGAGGTTCCCCCCCACCCCAGGACCTCAGAACAGGGTCTGTACCTCAGGGACAGTTAATCCAGCCCCAGGGGCTGAACTCCCCAGGGCACCAGGCCCCGCCCTAGGCTGTCACCTTATCAGCTCTGAATCCTCACAGCCACCCCTGGAGGCCAGTGACATTAAACCATTTACGGAAGAGAAACCCCAGGCTCCCTGGAATTTACGTGACCCCCAGCAGGAAAGTGGAGACCTCAGGGCTGCCTGGCTCCAAGCTTACCTCCTTCTCTGCTACATGTGGAGAAGACCCATGTCGCCGTGGCTGCGGGTGTCACAGGGTGTGGAGCATCCGGGGCCACAGCAGGGACCCCATGAGAGGCTCTCCCCGAAACTTCCTCCCTCCCACTTCCCCCCATGCTGCACAATCCATCGCCATGCACGTTCTAAACAAGACCCACTGGATTCTCTAGAAAGCAGGGGAAGCTACAGGCAGACCCAAGGAAGAACTTTCAGGGACAGAAAAAACTACAGGCAGTTACAGGAGGGCCTGGAGCCCTGACCCCGGAGACCTTGTGGAGGAAGAAAGAGATTGGGGCCCCCCCAGTTGTGGAGAGGAGGTCACCGCAGGCCTCCCCACCACGCCCTAGCCTGTGTGGAGTCCTGTTGTGTGAGTCTCTCCGCTTGACTAGAAGCCCCTTGAGGGGGGACTCGGATACATCTGCGCTGCTGTGGCCCCAGCAGAGAGCCCAGGACCGTTTGGACTTTAAGATATCTTTATTGAAAGCATGAAGTACCCAGGAAGGTAAGGCAAGAGTGGGGGCCATGGAGGCACAGGGAAACTGAGGTACAAAGAGGCACGTCTTGCTAGTCTTCCCAGTGGAAGAGGCCAGTCCTCGTCTGGGTCGCCTAGCCCTGGGAAGCTTGACGGTCATATGGTCTCACAGCTGGGGACAGACCGTGGGTTGGCCATCTTCCATCTCCATCTCGATGGACACATCTACTGCCTCTCATCCCCCTCAGCCCTGCACAGATAACAGGGAGGGGGAAGGAGGAGGAGGAGGGGTTTCGTTCCTCTGGCTCTTTCCCTGTAGAATCACTGTAAATTAGTGGCCTCCCTCCACTGAAGGCCACAGCCCTGACCAGGCCCTCTCTAGGCCAAGGGTGGTCATGGCCCACACTGCCGTCCCTTGTGGTTTCCCTACACCCTGTCCACACCTGGGTAAACAGACCCTTCATTAAATTCTCAAATCATCCCATTGGAGCGTGCCATCTGTTTCCTGTTGGGGCTCTGACTGATACAAATGCTTTCAGGTGCCGCCTCGCCACACGCCAAGGAGACATGTGGCCAATGGCCAGGGCCCTGTGCCCCGACCCTACAGTGGGCAGGTGCACAAATTCTGCTCCTTCCTCCTCCTGGCTGGCTGGGAAGGCCAGGGCTACAGGAAGGGACGGAGCACGTCTACCCTGGCCACTAGCCACAGGAGGAATTTTAGGCAGTCCCTGGGGAACCCCCCAGGCGGCTGTCTGTCTCCAGCACCGGCCTGGAGCCAGGGGCTGCTGAGGACATCAGGGCCGAACCCACAAGAACAAGGGAGAAAGTGGGTACACAGGAAAGAGAGCACTGGACTGGGAGTCAGGGTATCCAGGCTCTGTCTCAGGTGGCTTTAGGCGAGCCCTTTCTATGCTCTGGGTCTCATCTTTCTTCATCTGCACCATGGGAGGACAGCCTGCTGGCCTGGAGAAGCTTAAAGTCCAGGACAAGAATCAGAATCACTCCACCATTAACCAGCTTGTCCAGCCCTGTGCCAAGTGCCAACTTACAGCCACCTAATGGCCTGAGACTCATGTGTCCATTTTACAGTGCAGGAAACTGAGACTCAAGTGTGGGGTTGGGGAGAAGCAGAGGATAATAATTCAGGTCTGAGCCCGTATTTCATCCCTTAGCTTCCAGAACATTCCGTCTTGTTCTTCCCCCTTCCCTGGTCACCTTATCTGCCTCCTTACTCATTCCTCCTCATCCTCCCAGGCTTGGCTGCTGGGCCTCTTCCCTTCTGTTTACCCTCGTTCCCAGGTCAGGTTTTTACAAACCTTTGGGACCATTACCTTGTGTCCCAGCACAAACCCTGAGACTCAGACTCAAACAATCGCAACATTCTGTGAACATATATATGCCCTTACGATATGCATTCATCTTGTCTCATTTCCTTTCCAATACTGATCACAAGCCACTCTATCGATTTCATCACCCACCAGCAGGTCTTGCCCATAAAATATGATGCCTTGCTTCCCTGCTATTCCAGCTGTGGTCTTAGCATCTCCTGAGAGCTACTCTCTGGCCCTGCCCCAGACCTGCTGACTCAGAACCTGCATTTTACCAAGACCCCCAGGGCATCTGTGTGCACATTAAGTTTGACAAGTGCTGTTCTGGGTGCCCTCATCCAGACAAATGGCTTTAAGTACCATCTACATAGACTGATGGCTCCCAGACTTCTACTCTCCTCCTGGCTCCAGGCTCCTGGGTGTAACTTAAGCAGCTCAGACTTCATGTGTCCAGAACCACGTTCTGTTGCTTCTGTGCCAACTGTTCCCGCCTTGGTGCCTCCATCTCAGACCCTGACAGACCCCTCCTCTCATTGCTCAAGCCTTGAGGGGTTCTTGACTCCCACACCCTTCCTCCAACCAACAAGCGAAACTTGTTGGCGGCTCTCCCAGTTTTCCAGTGTGTGTGGGGCTCCCACCACCCCATAGCTACCACCCTGGTCACCAGCAGCACCTCCTAGAATATGGCAGTCACCTCCTTAGGGAGTTCCCTTGCTGCCACCCTTACCCCAGCCCATTCTGCACACAGTAAAGGGGGGCTATTTTTTTTTTTAAAGATTTTATTTATTTATTTGAGAGAGAATGAGATAGAGAGCACGAGAGGGGAGAGGGTCAGAGGGAGAAGCGGACTCCCTGCCGAGCAGGGAGCCCGATGTGGGACTCGATCCCGGGACTCCAGGATCATGACCTGAGCCGAAGGCAGTCGCTTAACCAACTGAGCCAGCCAGGCGCCCAAGGGGGGCTGTTAAAGTTGAGCCAAGGTCCACCCCTCCTGCTCAGCACCCATCTTGGGTCACCATCTCATTCGGTGTAAAAGCCAGAGCCCCTCAAATGGCCAGCAAGGCTTCCCCTGTCCCTTCTCCAACCTCATCTTCTGCTCTGCTCCCCCTCGATCCCCACACTCCAGCCACACTGGCCTCCTTGCTATTCCTGGAATGTGCCAAACACACACCCACCTCAGGGCCTTTGCACTTGCTATTCCCTCTCCTTGAAACACTCTCCCCCTAGATGACCACAGGGCTTTAAGTCACGGATCCAATGTCGCATGGTCAGTGAGGACTTCCCTGGCCATTGCATTTAAAATAGCCCCCTCCCCACACCAGCGATTGGTCTCCATCTGACACACTATATATTGTTTTTTTTTGGTCTGTCTCCCTCTCTAGAACAGAAGTTCCATGAGGGCGAAGGCCTTGCTTTGTTTGCTGCCCCATCCCCATCACTTCAAATAGTGCCTGGCCTGTGGGAGGTGTTTGAGAAGTACTGTCAGAATAAATGAATGGGCTAGGAGCTTGAGGTTGCATACGCTATGATTCTGAGGCCTCAGGGTGTGGGTGTTGGAGGCATGCTGAGCCAAGGACAAGGCCTCTGATGAGGGGGAATGATTCCCTAAGGGGACATGGTGGTCACAAGGGTCAGTGGTCCTGCCAGACTGCTCTGTTCTAGAAGAAAGAAGTCCCTCAGGGTTTCCTTCTCATTCCCCAAGGACAAGTCCAGGTACCTGCTGCTTCCCAAATGTTGGCCTTTCTGATGAAACCGACTCCCCAAGGTCCAAAGAACCCATGAGGACCACGCAGGAGGCAGAATTCCACTGGGTCAGGATTCTAGAACCTCTATGTTATAAGGCTCAGTGTTCGTAGGAAGGCCCACGTGAGGCCCACGAAGGGGAGAGACTCACCCAGCACTCCATGAACCATGGAGGGCAACACAGGCAGGAGACCCTGTACCAGAACCCCAGGAAAGGGGCAGAAGCCCAAGAGGCAGGTGACGGTCGAGCCCGGTGCCCCTGCCTTGCTGTGTGACCTGGGACAAGTCACACAACCTCTCTGGGTCAGCTTCCCCAGCGAGGAAGCTCTGTGCTCACAGGCCGCACATGTGCAGTAGGACTCTGGCCCCCACCCCTCCGAAGCCCCCCCACTGTGGAGCCGCCAGGCCTTCCTGTTTACTTGAGGCCCCTCTCGAGGCTGGGAGGCGGCAGCCTTGGCCTCCTCTGCTCCCTGCTTCCTTCCTCTCCCACTTCAGCGCCTCCGGCCAGGCCGTCAGGGCCCTCCAGGCCAAGACTTAGGGGCGCAGTCCGGGGGGGGGCATCTGAGGCCACCACCTCCGCAGATCACTCTCTCTCTCTGAGACCCTGAGGTCTCTGGCTGGTCAGAATGTTCCGGCACTTTGGGACAAGCCATTGCCTGGAGCATCCCTAGAGACGTGAAGTGTGACAATTGCGGTATCTCCTGCTGGTCACAATGCCACGCCCACCTCCCAGCCCACAGCAGCAGATGAGCAGGCGTTCGCTGACCCTACAGACACCCCCTCCTCCCCACCCCCGGCAGCCAGGCCTCCGCTGAGCAGGCTCTCCATGAGCTACCCAAAGTGTGGGCCGCGGACCAGCAGCCAAGCCTCACCGGCCAAGGCAGCCCTGCTGAAGCAGAATCAGCTTTTTAAGCAGAGCCAGGAGCTTTGCGTGCCCCTGTAGGCTGACACGCTGCAGTCCTGGCCCCCTGCCTGGTTTTAACGGCCTTCCTGAGCCTCACCTCTTAGGTGTTCTTGCCCCAGAGGCTGAGCCTGAATCCATGAAGGCTTTACAACTACCAGTTTACAAGAACTTTAGGAAATGGAGGAGCAAGTTGGACGACACCAGGAGGAAGCAAAGGGTGAATCTGGAAAGAGCTCTCTGCAGCACAGTTGTCATAAGAAGGATTCCAGGTTGAAAGAGTTCTGACAGATATCACAACCAAGGGCAGCCTGTGATCCTGGGTTGTACCCTGATTTGAACAAAGACACATTTTTGGGGACAATTGGGCAAAATTGCATGTGGGCTGATTATTATAAATTACAAAATCAACATTAACTTAGTGTTATGGAAACTCTGAGCTGTGGTTTTGAAGGAAGATGCCCTTATTTTGTAGAATCATACTTTAGAGGTGAAGTTTTTTTCTTCATATCTGTAATTTACTGCAGATACTTTGTCAAAAGTCAAACAATAATTTAGGAAACAGGGAAATGACAGAAGTTACTAAATGTTGCTGATGGGGGTTCATTATATTATTTCCTCTAATTTTCAGTTTGTTTGAAATTTTTCATTAAAGAAACTTTCTTTAAAAATTTTTTTTAATTTTAGAGAGGGGGCATGCATGGGGGGGAGTGGGGGAGGGAGAGAGAATCCTCAAGCAGACTCCCCGCTGTGTGCTGAGGCTGACGCAGGGCCCTGAGATCATGACCTGAGCCAAAATCAAGATTCAGATGCTTAACCGACTGAGCCACCCAAGCGCCCCCCCCCAAAAAAACTCCTTCTGAGCCTCCCATTGCCTTTAGGGGAGAGACTAGATACTTGGGTCAGCATTCAAGGCCGCACAAATCTGGCCCCTCCAGGCTTGTCTCTTGCCCCTGCACCCCTCTCACCTGCATTTCATCTAACAGGCCTCTGAGGCTCTTCAGAGCTCTCCCCTCCACCCTTCCATGACCTCTCTCACCTCCTAGGTATCTGCAAGGCCCGGCTCCAGAGCTCCACCTCAAGGAACCAGCTGCGCGAAGGAAACCCTCGAAGGAAGGTCTGTGGTGGCAAGGATGGGGTGGCGGTTACTAGACCTTTTACATTTCTGTGTTCTGGTTGTTGTTTTTTTTCCCCAAGTTTTCAACTTGTTAAGTGAACAAGGTGATTCTGTGGCGAACAGTAGTTTGGGTCAGCCTTAGGTTCTCATTAAACTGGGACACACCTGAATCGATGAAGCTATAATTAAAAAAAAAAAAAAGATCACGAAGATGCTCCTGTCAGGCGAGTTCTCTAGCTCTTTATCATCTTTGGCGTGTCTTCCCCACTCCTCCTCACTTGATCTGGACAATCCTGAGCTAGAAGATGGGGGTGTGTGTGTATTAGCCCGCTCGGACAGATGTGACATGGAGACCCAGAGGTGGTAGGTCGCGGAGCAACTGGGGCTCCCCTGCACACCCCAGCTGGCCTGGGGAACAGAGACCAGGGGCAGAGGCCTTCCCCATGCCCACCCAGCCCGGAAGGCTCATCCCCACACGATGCCTGCCTTCTCCTACCTCCCCTGTGCTCTCACATATTTGTCTTCTTCTTTCAATAGACTCACTTTTATAACTTAAATATGTTTATTTTAAAGGAAAGTTTAAGTAACGTGGACGGAAAACCAGTCACACTTGCCATAAATAAAAGGGGACACAGCATGGGCATAATCAGCCCCTCATGGGGCCTTGTTCCGGCCAGGTGTGGCCCACTGAAGGCCCTCCTGGGTCTAAAGGGAGTCAGCTGGGGCTGGGACAGGTGTTAAGGACACGTGAGCACCAAGTTGAGCCTTTCTTGGTGATGAGGTCACAGTGAAACAACAGGAAAGGGAAGATGGTTCTCCCCTGGGGGATTCTGGGGCACCCTCCCCAAAGCACCCCAGCCCTGCTCATCTCCAAGGCCACTCTGGTCTCGGCTCCCACGGCCATGGTGATTGCCAGCCTTACAGCCCTGATTAGTGTGTTCTTGTCCTGACCTTGAGGGGTGGGGGTTGCAGGGGGCATGGACCCTAACTCAGATTTGGAAATGGGCTCAGAAAGGGCAGGTGGTGACCTGTCCAGGGACGTACGGTGGGAGGTCTCCTCCGTGTCTCACCTCCTCAGGGAGGTACTGCTGACCATTCAATCTCGATGCCCTTTTCAGACCCTCAGAGCTTCTTGTGCCCAGGAAGCCAATTCCTTGCCCACCCAGACAGCTGACGTGTGCCATCCTCACTGCCCAGGAAGCCCCCCCCACAGCCCATGCCCTCGCTTCCTGCGGCACACAGGCCCCAGGGGCGTGAAGCGCAGAAAACATGCTCAGAGAGATGAGGGGTCAGGGCCAAGGCCACCCAGCAAGGATTTGGAGGAACCCAGGTCGGGGCCCAGCTGTGCCTCACTGTCAGTCCCCGAGAACAAGGATCCTGCCTCAGTCACCCTGGAGCCCCAGGCCCGGCATGCCCTGGGTGAGGAAGGGCCCTGGGTCTTCCCGTGGTAGTTGTGGGGCGGAGGGACAGCTGGCTCAGGTGGGCTGAGGGGCTAGGAGAGGCCATACCACGTGGATCAACTCCAGTGAAAGCAAAGAAAAAGGAATAAAACCGAATGTCCTTGGAAATGCCTTTAGTGCTTGGCTGTCCATGAAAACAGGATAAAGTGGCTTCCTCTGTCTGTGCTCCAGCCGGGCAGGGTGGAGGCGCTGAGCTCAGGCCAGGACAGCCTCAGGCAGGACAGGGGTGGGGCGGGGCTCGGCTGGGGAAGGGCTCCGTGCTGCTACTTGAGGGCATCCAGGTGGGTGCAGACTTGGGAGAAGACACTGTCCACCGAGCCTTCGGCATTGACCTGTGGGGAGACGGCCGGGAGGGCAGAGACGATGGGAAGGGCTGGGTGGGCCCCACCGAGGCAGGGGCTCACTTCCCCCAGAGGCCTGGTCTAGCTCTCTGAGCCCAGCCACAGGGGGACAGCAGCCCATCACCGAGCCAGTGGGGAGACCAGGGCCTGGCCCAAGGTCACCGGAATTTTGGCCACCCCAGGCAAAAACCCGTTTCTAGGGCTACCCGCGGCCTGCAGGGGGCGCACCTTGCGTACGATGCCCCGTTTCTCATAAAAGGCGATGACAGGTTCCGTGGCTTTGTAGTAGGTCTCCAACCGCTTCTTGATGGTCTCCTCATTGTCATCCACTCGCCCGCTGGTCTCCCCGCGCTTCAGGAGCCGCTGGGTCATGGTCTCCGGGCCTGCGTCCACATACAGCAGCAGGGTGGGCTGTCCGATCTGCGGGCGGAGCGGTACTCATAGGGGCCCCATTCCGGCCCCCTGGGGCCACCTCCTCCCCATGCTCCCGAGTCAGAGGCCCCGCCTGAGACCCACTCAGACCTCCAAGCCCTTCCCCAAGTCAGCCTGAGGGACCTTGCAAAAACCACTCCCCTGCTCCCAACCTCTCCCATAGCTCCCCAGTGCCCTCAGAAGAGAGCCTCCCGCCCTCCTCCCCTCGTGTTTCCCACTCCTTCACTCTCCTTGCTTCGGCCACGCTGACTCTCTGTAGTCTGGGCTCTCGCCCACCTCCTCCCATGCCAGGCCTTTGCTCATGCCAGGAACCCTTACCTCGATGCAAAGTGCCGGCCTTCAGATTTGAACAAAAATCTCATTCGTCCGGGGCAGTCTTCCTGGATGCCACCCCCACCACCATCCCCAGCTCCCTGGGACACCCTCTTCAGTCCCCTCTCCTTCTTCACCCAGAATGCCTCAGGAGGCCTCTGGTTATTTACTCAGTGTCCCTCTCCCCTGCCAGGCCAGGAGCCCCTGAGGGCAGCAAGGCATCTCATTGGAATAAGCGTTTCATCCACCGCAAAGGGCTAGAAGGAACAAGGCTGACCTGTCTTCCTTCGGCGAGGCCCTGATGCCCCCTGGTGTCCAGATCTGAGAAGACCAGGTGCCCGGACCCTTGGAGGCCAGGGCAGGGCTGGGCCGAGCCCACAGCCCACAGAGCGCCCACAACAGCCCCAGGAGGGAAGGAGGCTTTTAGTAATCTCATTTTCCAGATGTGGCCCTGAGGGTCGGAGGTGACATCACACAGCTGGTACATGTGTGTCATGACAGGACACGCTTTGAGGCTGCCTAGCACCTGACCACAGTGTCCATGGCCTCCTAGTCTGGTGGAAACCCAGCCCACTTCCGTTTTAACGATAGGGAAACTGAGGCCCACAGCAGGGTAGACACTTTCTTGAGGTCCTGCAGGCACTTAAGGGTCGGAACATGAAATCTTCTACCTCTGGATGAGGCTCAAAGCTACGGAAGCCCAAGAAGGCCCCAGCCTCACAGGCTTGGGGAGTGGGGATTGGGGGTCTGGTCCCGCCCCAGCCTATTGGGATGCCTGGTCCTCCCCACGACGCCGGGAAGGAGTCCCTCTGCCAAGAAGCCCTCCTTGAGCCAGCCCCACCCCTCGCCTCCCCCCACTTGCAGCTCTGTTTCCCTAGTATGACCTGTGACCCCAGAGGTATGGGTGTGTGTGTGTATGTGTGTGCCCATGCATGTGCATGCGTGTACATCCATGTGTATAAGTGTGCTGTGTCCACATGCATGCATCGCATGAGTACGTGTATGTGCACTGCCAGATGTGTGCACACGCGTGTGCTCTGTATGTGCGCGCATATACATGAGCTTGTGCGCCTGTTTTTGGGAGCAGTGCCCCCACCCTGTTTTCCTGCTGGGCATCTGTTTCAGGCAGCTCGGAGCCATCATCCTTGAGGCCTACTTTTTTTTTTTTAAAGATTTTATTTATTTGACAGAGAGAGCACAAGAAGAGGGAGAGAGAGGGAGAAGCAGGCTCCCTGCTGAGCAAGGAGCCCGATGTGGGACTCGATCCCAGGATCCTGGGATCATGACCTGGGCTGAAGGCAGCCGCTTAACTGAGCCACCCAGGCGTCCCTGAGGCCTACTTTTTCCAGTCAGACTCCCCGTGGCCCATGGAAAGAGACTGGACTCCTTGGCCTCAGCGGTCTCCAGCCAGGCCTGAACCCCCTATCCCACAGCAGTCCTGGTTGCCCTGCCCCCTAGATTCTGTTCTCCCCACACCAGCCTGACCCTTCCAGCCCTGTCCATCCTGCTCCCTGCCCCTCTGACTACGGGTTTATAAGGTGCCAAGCCCCACTTTGGAAGGGTACATTCTCTCTAATTGCATTCTGCTCCTTAAGGCAGCTGTTGCCAACCGTGTCCCCCCATTTTGCAAATGGGGACACTGATGAGGTTCAAGGAGGCAGAACGATTGGCCTAAGGCCTGTTGAGCTAGAACCTGAGCCCAGGTTTGTGAGCTCCCCAGCCTGTGCTTCCTCTCCCTCTAGAGTTTTCTTCTAGACTTCTAGAAACTCTTCCCCAGTTTCCCTCCTTACCCTTCTCCCCACTCTGACCCCACAATTAGTCTCTCTCTCTCTCTCTCTCTCTCTCTCTGCCCAAAACTCTGTCTGGCCATCATGGCAGCCTCTGCCTGGGCCACCCCACATCACAGCCCCAAAACGTACCCAGCAGGTTGCACCTTACCCTCCGCTCAAACTCCTCTCCCTGCTGTACCTCCCGAGGGTAGCCATCAATCAGGAAGCCTTTGGAAGTATCTACCTTGGCCACCATGGCATCTCGGAGCATGTCCAACACCGTCTCCTGGGGGTACCGGAAAATATGGAGAGGTCATGAGCTCCTTTCCCCACCTCTTCCTCCAGGCCTCTGCCCTAATAAAGATGTTCCAAACAAGCCTCCGTCTCCAGGAAGCCTCCTTTGAATGTGAAGGCTTGACTGGTTGATCAAACCCTTCATGCATCCATCCATTCATTCAATAATACTGACTCAACCCCATCCTCCCCGCCAGCTCCTGTCCAGGGCCCCAAGGACACCACTGAACGAAGCAGACCTTCCTCAAAAAGCTCACAGTGTGGTGAGGTTGATTTAGCAATTTCCAAGCATGACGCAGGTTGAATGGGCAAAGAAGGAGGCCTTCTGGAGTTATAAAATGAGCGGGTCTAAGCTCAAGTCTGTGGAGCCAGGGAGGTCTGAAAGCTGAGGAGGAAAGAACATTCCAGGCAGGAAGGAATCTGATGAGATCGACAGGACGGAAAGGCCAGGGCAGCCGGAAGGTGGAGAGCTGGGGGGGTGAGTGGGTGGTGTGGGGCTGAAGGGGTCGGCAGGGGCAGCGGTCCTAGAAGCTCCAGGAGCTTCTAGAAGGAATTTCCTGCTAAGGGCAATGGGGACTGGAGCCAGAAGTGTTTGGAGCCAGGGAAGATCAAGGCAGCATCACCAGGGCATCATGGGCTTTGCTGGCGGGAGCCCACTCGGGGCCACCATCACCCCCCACCCCACCGGACCCACTCACCAGTGGCACCAGCTGCCCCTTCTCCATGATTTCCGACAGCATCTTGCCCCTGGCCGAGCCCGAGCTGACCTCGGCCCGCAGGAGGTCCCCGGTGGAGAGGTGGGTGTAGCCGTACTTCTGGACAATCTTCTCACACTGGGTGCCCTTCCCTGAGCCGGGCCCTCCTGCAAGCGCCCACCCATTCAGAAGCCCCGCGAAACGGGGGCCACCGCGGGGCGACGATCCGCCCGCACCACCCAGCGGAGGAGGGGCAGAGCCCAGGGTGCAGTCCCGGGCCCAGGCTCCCACCAGCGCCTGCAAAGCACCTCCCTGCTTGCTGCCTGACCCCGCCTGCCTTGGACTCACCCACCACAAAGATGATCTTGGCTTTCTTCAGCTTCTCTGTGGGACGGAAAAGGAGAGCAGAGTTCAGTGACTCGCTTGACAAAGAGCCCGAAGCGCCTCTGCAGTCCAGGCCTGTGCCGGGCCTCAGGCCTCATGCTCCTGCCCCGAGTGACCAGCGGTGGGCTGAGCAAAGCTCAGCGGTCAGAGAGGAGAAGGTGTTCCAGGCAAAAGCCTGGAGGCTACAGACTTGGCACAGGCTGAGGACAACTCCGAGGGACTCAGATGCCGACCCTCACAGCCCCTCCCCGGGGGGTGGCTGGGCAGCAGCGGGTCACCTCTGGCCTTAGAGTCTTCCGCGGTGTGGCGGCTTCCCGAGCAGCAGACCCCCATGGTCCCGTTCTCCTGCGTCCCTTCCCCTTCCCCTCCCAGGCCCTGGGCCTGCCCATTGCCCGCCTTCCCTGGGCAGTACAATTACGGAGTTGGCAACCACAACATATGTTGCCCTGGAGACAGTTGCCAGGGAAAAGGGCTGCGGTGGGCATGGAGAGCCCTCGCCCAGAGAGGGAGGCGAACTCCTGCTCCAGCCTCTGCCTCACCAGCCCTCAGAACTCAGCAAGGCCACAGCTTGGCCGCACAAGGGAAACTGAGGCCTAGGGAGGCAGGGGCCTGCTCCGAGGATGGCAGACCCAGAACGGGAAGCCGGGCCCTCTTCCCAGGCTGCCCGGCCTTCCCCTCACTGGGTCACCTTAGGAAAGGAGTCCCCACCCCTCTCTGGCTCTCTGTTCCCTCGCCACTGAGGAAGGCTTGGCAGCTCCCAGGGGCCCCCTGGCCCTGCGGCTGGAGGCCTAGAGGAACTGTCAGGAGAAGCGCTTCTCCCGTGGGCTCCCATCACTGCCTGCCAAGTGCTGGGTACCACCTGGAGGCGGGGGACGCCACAGCCCTTGGGCAGCTGATGTTTGGGGCCCAAGGGGTGGAAGGGTGACCGCCGGCTCAGGCAGCAGCAGCAGGCTCCTTTAAGAGCCGCCCAGGCCGAGGCACAAGGCCAAGGATGGGGCGGTGATACTGGCAGGAGGCGGGCCAGCCAGGAGCTCTGCTGGCCACATGCCTCCCTCCAGGTCCCGGGCCCGCAGCAGCCAGGAGCGCCCAAGAGATCCTTAAGACCCACCCTCTCTGGATGATGGAGAAACTGAGTCCCACAGAGGGGTTGGGCCTTGCCTCGTCCTTGTTAGGCTTGGCATTTGCACACTTGGGGCCTCTCCCCAGGGCTAGCCTCCCCTTGCCAGCACCCACCCTTTCTAGAAAGAGGCAGGGACTCAGCTCTATAAATAACAGCGTAGGAGGTGAGCTATGGGGCCCTCAGGAGCCTCAAGGAGGCCTCCTTGCTTCTAAAATTAATCTTGGAGCTGGCAGATCCCGTGAGATGCCTGAGGAGGATGCTGGAGGCTCCCAGACAGGCCCCTCTGGCAGACAGAGAACCTCCTCCAACCCTTCCCGGAATGTCTCCTGAAAGCACACCCCCTTAACAGACGGGCACACTGAGGCCCAGGCTGCGAGCAGCAAAGAAGAGCCTCGGTACCTTCCATCCTGCTGAGGTCCGGGGAGCCGAGTCAGCGCGCTGCAAGAAAGGGCACAGGTGGGGCAGGTGAGGGGGCCTTCCCGACAGCCCGTCCCCCTCCTGCCCGGCCCCTCGGTGTGTGCCAGGCCCTGACGCTCCCAAGGGTACAGGGCATGGAGGGCCCCGAAGGTTGGGTGACCTTGGGAAGGTCGCCTTTCCTCGGTGTGCTTCCACTGTTACAAAAGGGCAGCAACCCCCTCCCGTCCACCTCTTCCCGCCGGAGGAGCCAGGTGGCGAGGACAGTCCTGAGGGACAGAAACAGTGGCGTCAGCAACTGCTGAGCTGTTCCCCTTGCCAGTCCCAGAAAACAGGCGTCTGCCCAACACCTTGGAGACGCTCCCCAGGGCCAGGAGGAAAGCTCTGTGGAGGCTAGAGGTGGGAAGAGGGACTTGATCTGCGTGTGTCTTCATCCCGGATGGGGTTGGGATGAAGATGCTCAAAGGGACACAGAGGTCTGAGGGGGAGGAAGCTGCAGGAGCTGCTCAAGGGACACAGCCCTGTATAGTTTTCATGGGGGACGGGGGACCCCCAGGCTCTCACCCCCCCATATGACCCTTGCCCCCTCACCCCCTTGAGGATCTTGCTCTACCACCTGCCTTCTCCTCAGCAAGTGAGTTAACCCCACCCCCTCCAGGACCCCAATCTGCTTCAACCGCTCCTTCCACCTAGAATTGCCACCTGCACACCCACCCGCTCTCCCCAAGGCCACCAGCGACCAACACAGTCACTCTTGCCTTGACCTTTGACGCCGGACCCTCGGTCGGCTTTCCCCCTGCCTGGCGTTCCCCCAACCTCAGGCCCTCACTCCACCCTCACAATGCTGACTTCAGGTTCCCAGGACCCCGGTCTCTGCCCAGGCAGCCCTGGCCTCCCTCCCCAGCCCCATAGGTCTACAGTCCCTGGACAGGCCTGAAGTCCCCACACACCCTCCCGTGTCCCCAGTTCCATACCCTGTTGCCCAACCAAAGGCCCCAGTGTGCGTGAACACCCTTCTCCCACACCCCACTTCCACCCTGCACACGCACATCCCAACTCTCTCTCCAGCCTGTGTGCTCACCACCACTTCCTTATTGCAAGCGGGGCGCCTGGCCACTGCCCCAGCCCCCCATGGGTCTCCCTACCTCCATACCCCACCAGGCAATCTGCAGGATTCTCTCTGGTAAGCATCAGACCACATCGCTCACCTGCTTAAAACCCTTCCAACAAGTGGCCCCCTAGCTCCCAAGATAAAGCCTGGGTCCCTAACATGGATGACAGGGTCCCACAACCTCTACCCATCCTCTGCGGCCTTAACAGCCACCGCTTGAACTGCTTGGAGCTTCCTCGCCCACTATGACCGTGTCCCACCTCCAGGCCCTGGCTACTGTTGCACCTGATGCCTGGATGCCTTTCCCCAGGTGCTTCTGGCTAGGACTCAGTTCAGGTGTCACCTCCTTCAGGAAGTCTTCCTGGACTCTGTCCTCCACTCCCACACTAGCAGTTGCCTCCTTCGAACGCCCTCAGCGTCACACATGCCACATGTTACTGGACCCCTCTGTTGTACCACTGGCCTGTGTGCCCCACGGGACTGGGCCTGGCCCCGGGCTAAGCATAGGGCAGGGGGCCTCACGCTGTGCTCACAGCTGTCTTGGAAGGGATTTGAGGCTTGAAGCGGAGGAGAGACTTGCCCCAGAGCCTGGCTGGGGTCAAACTCGGGCTGCATTTTCTGCTGCTTTAGGCCTGGCACCTAGTAGGTCTTTAGGCAGCTTTGCTGACTGTCCCGCCACTTGTGGGGCATGAGTTATAGGCCCTTTCCTGCTGAGTGTGCTCAAGGAAGGGTAGAGCTGCCAAGGCCCCACAGCAGCAGCCAAGGGAGGAGGATGGTCCCCAGGCCAGAGAGAGCCTGAGGTGACAACTTGCGGAGTGGCCTCCCACCCACCTTGCCCTGCCTCCTCCTAGTAACCTAAGCCCCTCTGTCCGGCTGGCACCTGCTACTTCCTTGGTCCAAAATAACTTGGGTGGTGAGGCCTCACAGAGGCCAGGGGTCCAGGACAGAGTTGGGTTACCGGCTCAGCACCCAGGCCTTACAAGGCCCCCGGATCCAGGCTGCAGCAACTCCTCTCGTGACTGGGTGGTCTGCCCAGGGGCCTGGGGAACTGAGGCCCAGAGGGACAGCCACTGAAGGGCTCATCCCTCGGCTGTGTGACCTTGGGCAGCCAGTGTCCCCTCTCTGGGCCTGCACCCTCCAGGCCCTGTCCTGCTGCTTGAGTGGATATCTGAGCAGTGCTCAGGAAAGGTCCCATGTGTTGGCCCCAGGGGCTCCCTTAGAGCCCCCTCCCTTTCAGGAGGCTGGGGCAGGGGGCCAAACATCCAGGGGGCTTCCTGTCCCCCCAGCACTCAAAATCGCACGGCAGGATAGCTCCTCCAATCTCATAGGCGGCCCTGCCAGGTCCTCCAGGGCAGGGCGTGCGGCCACAGCCCCCTTCCCTGGGCCCCAGCTGGGACGTGCCAAGGGCAGGGACCTGGAGCCCCAGCGCCAGGAGTGCCAGCCTGGACAAAGGGGCGACTGTGTAGGAAGCCAGGAGGGACTGCAGCACACATCCCCCGACGCGGGCACACGCAGGGTGGCACAAATAGCCAGAGCAGAGCCTGGGAAGACCAGACGGGCGAATCCCCACGGATCCCACCACCCATACAGACACACAGTCGCACAAACCCCAAGGATGCCCCGGACACACACAGACCCGCGGCCCCAGGCGCGCGCGGCTCCCCCACCCCCCGCAGAGGCGCCCCCCGCGCCCGGACACGCACGCGGGCACACACTGACCTGGGGGAGGGGTGCGGCGGGCGCCGGGGCCAGTGGTGCCCTGCCCGTCCTCGCCCGCCGCCCGCAAAGGCGACTATTTATAAGGCTGTCAGCAGCGCGCAGCATGCCGGGAGCCAGCGCTCGGCGGCGAGGGCAGGGAGGGAGGGAAGGAAGGAGGGAGGGAGAGCGGCCCGGGAGGGAGGGGGGCCTGGACCCGGGTGAGCCCCGATGGGAAGCCAGAGCAAGGCCGCCGCCCCCCACCGTGCATCCCCAGGTGGCTGAGCCTGCAGGGTTTTCTCCCGTCCTGCCTGACCTCCCGTGTGCCCACATCGCTGCAGGGGAACGGGACTGGGTTTCCCGTATGACAGCTGGGGAAACTGAGACCCAGAGAGAAGAGACTCTTTGCACAAAATCCCTCGGCAAATTGTTGGCAGAGAGAGGGCCCAGCGCGGGAGGCAGCCGATGCATGGATTCTGGGGGCTTTGCCAGGCCAGTCCCCCCACCCCTCCTTAGATCCTGCCCAGAGGCCCCTGGGCCGAAACCCACCCAGAACTCCTCCTCTCCGGTTAGAAGGAGCCCAAGAAGGCCTCTGGGACTGAAACTCTCTCAGGACCCCAAAGACCATCCAGGTACCCATTTCTCAGCTAGGGGTTGTGTAGAAGATTATAAAAAATCAGCTCTGCCTTCATTACACTGCCAGGCAGCCCCCAAGAGGTGAGCACGAGGAGGTGGGACATTCAGAATGCTGAATGGGATGTGGGTACCCGGATGGGGGGCCGGCAATCCTGAAAAAAAGAACAGCTCCCGTGAATGAGCACTCACTGTGCCGGGCACTGGGCAGAGTGCTGGGCTCACACTGGGTCTGCGAATCCTTCCACCCGGAGGAAAGCGAGGGTCACATCTGTAAAATAGACGCCCCACCCTCAACCTGTGTAGAACCTCTGAACCTGAAACCTCGTTTCGGGCCGGAAACTTCATCCAGTTTTTGACACAGGGACTTCTGAACTATTGAACTGGACAAGGGCGTATGACAGAACACAGAGCTGC